TGGTTGTTGAAATGATGCCCTGAAACCCTGGCTCATCTAGGCTTGCTTTAAAGGATGTCTGGTTCAAATATGCCCTGAATACTTGGTTCAAATGAGAGAGAATATTGGTTCAGATATTCAGTCCCTGAAGGGACTGAAACAAACCATCTCCATCCTGGGTCACAAGACTTGAGCAGAGTAAAATTCATTGCATGTACTCCTGCACTGTGCAGTTTGCCCAGGCCTAAAGTTTTGGGGATACTTGGTTGAGCAAGGAACGCAGAATCTAACTACTATCCAGCTTGCGGCCTTGAATTAGCTTCTGGGCACATTTGTGGCTCTGATACAAGGAGAAATATCGCAGAGACTGAAATCCCTTCCTCATTCCTACTTGCTCTCTCATTGCATGGCAGACACCTTCATATTGCTACAATTATTGCTCCATCTCTAACTGCATGTAGTGATCATAATAACTATACCTCATCCACATACTGAGTTTCTTGTTCAGGATTCTCAAGGTGTATAATGAATTTTCACACTGCCCTGAATCTGATCGATCTTTGTCTTGTCACCCCACTGTCACTTCTCAATTAAAGAGTAACAAATCTAAGGTAAGATTATTTCGGGCTATTTATTAATTACTGTGTAGTGCCCCAAATGTGCCATGCTCACTGGCAGCACAAAGCAAGTTTCTGGTGCTATTTAAAAACTTGCAAGCCTTTTTCAGACAAAACCATCAATCTTATCCTTAACACAGCTACTATTCAGGTTGGTAGAAGAGTAGTTAGGGCAGGCACAGCTGATTGATACCTGAGGTTAAGCAACAAATTGAAGTTATGCATCCATGAGACATTATCCTTAAAGATCACTAACATAATCTTAAAACAAATCCTATTCCCTTTATGTTTGCAGCGAGCAATTGCAATCTGTTATTTTCTTTGTAATTGTCTTGCAGTTTCTGTATATCTCTGCAGACAAAAGCATGTCACCTCTGAAACACTCTCATTCTCTAGCAGGATAAAGAAACAAAGTGGGACACATCTGAACTCAGCCTTCCAAGTTCAGCCGCTCCTTATGCTGTTTTCAGCTCCATAAGCCTTTTCCTTGCTGTCATTTGGGGATGTGTATTCATGATTACAGAGACAGTGTTTGGTCTGCTTGGAGACAGAGCTGCCTGTTGTGCTGCCATGCTAAAATGGAAGGCTGAATTATCTTTTGCTGCCAAACAGTTTTATGATATTTTTATTACCCCAGAGCACTCCCCCCCCCCAACTCATTTCAACAAGGGATTAAGTTGTGAACATTTATAGCTACATCTGCATCCTTCTCTCAGGTAAAATATAAAGAGCAGAGTGATGCTGTTTTGGGCAGGAAATGGAGGCAAGCTTTTCTAGATCTGCTGATGTTCATAATGAGAAGGTTATGTGTATGTGTAAGTAAATTGTCATTTGCATTAACCCAGATCTTCTCATCATCCACCATTATTCATGCATCTGAAGAAACAGGAGATGGTATCTTAGAAAAGCTGAAGTGACCAAACTTTCAACTCCTTTCCTGAACATAAATCATTTCCTATAGCAACAGGAGCAAGGGATGGTGCATTAGCAGGCTAAAAGTAGATACTGCTTTTGAGAGGCTGTGAAGACACTGTGTCTTTTAAACAAAAAAGTGAATCTTCGGTCAGTTCAGTGCAAATGAAACCCACCTGAAAATGGTGTTTATTTTTTGTATGTTACGTCTATTATAATTCCATGCAAATACAGACTTTCATGCTGTGTAAAATCACCATTTCGTTGCTTTGCATTTTCAACTTCTTTTGATATTCGCACAACAAGGTGCGCTTCTGATACTCATCTGTAATTCCACTGATAAATCAGTCATACAGGACAGAGCGATGCCTAAAGACTTTCCAAGAGCTGTAATATTCAGCAGCACATCACTCCCATGAAATTATTCCAGCTTTAATAGCAAAAGCATTGCTTTTCAAGAAGAACCATGGAGACAATGCAGTTCATATTTTGCAACGAAAAAGCATAAACAGTGCCCATTTGGCTTTCTTCTCACGTGTCTTTTATGTCAGTGAGTAATTCACTTGTGCAATATAAACACATCACTGCAAAGTGCAAACACAGTAATACTCAAAAGTTACAGATAAAAATGAGAGATACAGTATACTAGCAGGGTACTAATCAGTTTGGCTCTGCTATCTCAGATAACCCCAAGCCAATTCCAAACCTGTTTCCCTTTTATTTTTTATGTGTTTTACCTTTTCTGATGTTATGTGCAGTTTAAAAAATTCAGTGATTAGGTTATCAGAGTTTGGACAGATGCCTAGGAAGGTATTACCGATTAACACTGTATTAATCAATCAATTTTACTAGAAATACAGTCCTCCACTTTGCTGATTGACACTTGCAGCTATTCATGATGAAATTCTGCTTTCTTTTACAGTGCCAAAAAGAGATTCCATCAATAGGGATGAAGATACTTTATGTCCATAGACGAAGGAAAATAAGGTCATTATCTGGCTTATGAAAATGTAAACCCACTTAAATGAAATACTTAGGTAATGACTCACCTGTGTGCTTTACACCACCATTTTACAGCATATAGAGTCATTTAGCTAGTTTCAGTGCAGGTGGATGTAAAGAGGCAATAAATGAAATAAGGCTGATAAAGAAATCCACCTTTGTGCATGGCTGTCTTTCTAAAAAAAGGGGTCAGCCATCTTTGTTTCACTGTGTCACCACATAATCATGGCATTCATTAGCTCAAATGATTCTTTTAATTTCCTTTACATTTTGAAAAGTCTCATTTTTTAAATTTTCCACTAACCTAAATATAATGCTGGTAGTCATTTACAACTGACTTTGGATGGGATCCCACTACAACCTATTATCTATACGGTGGAACCTGTTTACAGATAGCATTAAGAAAATCTGTGTGTATAATTAATGTGATTAAGAATCTTCCTATATGTGGGGAAGAAAATTAGAAAATTAGAAAATTTACGAGGGGACCACATACATTTTATTGTTTTTCAGGGCAGCTATTGTCTTTATGCTGTATTTTTATGCAGCTAAATCTTTGAGACCCTAATTTTGATTAGGAACTTTTAGCAATGCCATGATTGGTAACATTAATATAGTGCAGACTCATAGCACAATGTCTGATGGCTCAACTGCTTCAGCTATTTCTTTTTAACTGCTGTACCATGAATTAGTGCTAAAATAGTGCTTACTTCAGCCTTTTTTAAAGCACCACTGTAGCTGTGTAATACATCTTGAAAAGGCCAAAAAAATAATAATTAAAAATTACAGACATTTGATTGAATTTCAGTAGCCGTTTTCTGAACCTTGTGATACCGGTGAGCTCCCAAGAGCACCAAGCAGATCTTACCCAGAGACAAGTGCCATCTATCGATACAAAAGGTGTATTTGAGTTCAAGAAGCCAAAAATGACAAAAAAAAACGGCCCCAGCCTGCCACCTGCTGCTGTACAGAATTACTTCAAGAAACGTATTTGCTGGGCTTTGCACCGACTCAACAAAACCACTCCTGTCTGAACCGGATTTAACAAAAGCCTGCCCCTTCTACAGGTGTGCTTTGGCATTTCGAAAGCGTTGGGCAAGATTAAAATAATGGGAATGTTCTGTGCATTTGAAAATATAGCACTTAAGATGCTGTCTTGGAGGGCTCAAGTACTTCGAAGTCCTGGTGTTGCTAAGTCAGATGCCTGATTAGGTTTGTGCCAAGTTTCTGCTCCTGCAAGGGGGCTGTGTGCTGAAAATTCAGCTCCTCTTAAAAGCAGCTGCCTGGTGCTTGCAATTGTATGGTTATAGGCTGGCAAGATCTCACACATCTGAATAAAAACATCACCAACAACTAAAAAACCCCAAGCCAACCCAAACCCCATCCGCATATGAACCCACACTATTACTTTGACATCCCATGGTTTAGGCAGCACAGGTTGATTTTTGAAAGTTGACTTCGAAACAGTGAGATCTAGGTCGCTCATTGGTTTTGAGGGGTGGCAGTTTTAATACCAAGTACTTTGCTTACATGCGTCAGTGTAAATGTTGGGTTTGGAAAATGCACTTAGCTTCCTAGAGATTGTTCTAAGTAAAATGTCACAGTGGATGGGCCAAAACGCTAAGCATACCAATTATAGTAAATAATATGGTACAGGCTATACAATTCTTTGTTATTCTTTGTGGCCTCAGTGTTAAGGGAAGGAATTATTCTCTTATTGACAAGCATTATTGGTGGGTCTTGTGCAGCACTGCACTTTCTGGATCACTTCTCTATATAATTCCATACTGGAAACAGCTTGTTCTGTCAAAATGCCCAAGTCTCTGGTGTCACCTTGAGACAGGGGAGTCACAGAATCACAGTATGGTTTGGGTTGGAAGAGACCTTAAAGCTCATCCAGTTCCAACACCCTGCCATGGTCAGGGACAGCTTCCCACTAGACTAGGTTGCTCAAACATAGACTTTAACACTGCCAGGGATGGGGCAGCCACAGCTTCTCCGGGTGACTGGTGCCAGTGCCTCACCACTCTCATAGTGAGGAATTTCTTCCTGATAACTAAATCTCCCCTCTTTCAGCTTGAAGCCATTTAGAGGCTTTAAGAGGCCATCTAAGTGGGTATGGGAGCCCTCAGCGCACTCGCACCTGCCCCGTGGAAGGGCGAGGGGGGGAATGGATCACCCTGGCGCGCCCCCCAACTCCGTTGGGCACGTAGCGGTACCGTCACGGTGGTGTGTGCGGAGGGCGCGCACACCCCCTTTCCCCGGCTAGGCCATGGCCGCCGGGGCGGGACGCGGCGTGCGCATGCGCGCAACCCGCCCAGCGCTCCGCCCCTGTCCGCTCCAGTGCCCGCGCCGCAGGGCCGAGCCCCGTTGCTGTAGGTGCTGCGGGGGCCTTTGCGGTAGCGTTAGCGTTAGCTGCCGGGGGTGGCGGTGAGCGCGTTTTGCAGCCCCAAAGGCCGGGACGGTGGCGAGGCCGCTGGTTGGGCCGGGTCGGGGTAAGCGCGGGCCGACGCTGCCGCCCTCCGCCCGGCCGTGACAGCGGTGCTGCTCGGCCTGCAGGTCTGTGGCCAGAGTTTAGCTTGGTCTGTGCAAGGTAGGGCCTTCTCTGAACGGGCAGAAGTGTGTTTCTGTTTCATTGTTGTTAAAATCACTTAGCGTGAAGTTTAATAATATGATGAAAAGTGTTCTTGAGGCAGAGAATGCATTAATCTTTAAAGATACTTAACTGTACTCTTATACAGAACATTTCCAATGAGCTGGCGAGGGATTTATTCCCCCGTTTTCCAGTTTGTTGTTGATACATGCAGGGATTGGAGCACTGGTTTTTACCTAGCATGAAATACATATCCTGAATTTGGAGCGAGGGAAGAAGGAAACAGTAAATAAAATGTACTGCTGGTGTAGTCATAGTTTAAAGTTGTTCAAATAACATTCCTTTTTTTACAGATCATGTTGTTACTTTTCAAATGATCCGCACTGTTTCTGCTTTGTGGTTACTGTCAGCTTTCTACAGGTTGTACAGGATAAATGTTTTCTAAATATATTAAATTCAGGTTTAAAACATTTCAGATAGTTCAGTGTCTGTAGCATCACAAGTCTGGTTTTAGACGAGGCTGCAGTATATGTAATAAACACTGACCACTGGACCCTTAAATGCAGAATACATGAATGTCACCATTGTTTTCATGAGGATAGTGCACAGCTGGACTGTTTTGCAAATCTTATTTTTTCTGTTTTTGAGGTGGTATATGACCTATCTCAGCATTAATTCAGTATTTGGACTCAATTTGAAACACAAGTAGGCCTAGTGGATATACAAATTTAAATATGTGCAAAATTGTGGCTTTTGCTTATATCTGCAGATTCGCTGCTCCTGATGTGTGCTTTGATTTAGCAAGGGAAAGGACTTTAAGGAGAAAAGCTTTTCAGTGTATCATTCACCCATTGCTCCTCACTCAAACCAAATTATTTTTCTCCAAATTTTGTTGCTGTCCCTGAATATAAAAGTTTTGTTGTTTTTTTTCTTTAGTCTTTTGAGTTACAAGCCAGAGCTTCCCTATATTTGTAAGCCTGCAGAGGAGAGTATTGATATTTAGAAGATAGACCTGAATTATCAATTACATTTGTTATGAAACACAGAGTACTTAACAATTTGCCATTGTTTCCAGTGTAGGATGAGACATTTATTTCTTTTTTGTACTGGACTAACACCACAGTCAAGACTGTGGTTGTTACAGCACCTGATGACAACATGAACATTTAATTCAAATCTGCAACTTAAGAACAAATTTACATACCTAGGCTTATTCTTTCCTGTCATCCCTGCGCTGCCGTGGCAAACATCAGCTTGTCCTTGCTTCTGGTTACCTTGTTTGGCGAGTGTGAAAGCTGGCTAATAGTTGTACTTGTTTAGGGCTTCTGTAGCCAAAATTTTGTCAGATTGTTAGCTTTTTTTTTTTCATACTGCTTGTGAAATACACGATATCACATAAAAGACTGAGTGTCTCTCCAGTTTTTGTTGGTTTGGTTTTCTTTTTTTAAACTTTTTAAAAAGCAGTATTATTTATTGCAGGAATAAAAGGTTTTTAAAAATCCCTGTGTTTCATGTGGAAATTGTATATCTGTAGACCTTTTTTTAGGTTCAGTTATTTTAATGATTGTTTATGTTAACATACGATGACAAAAATCTTTGAAGACTTTCATGTTCTGTAGTGCTTATTAGTACAATAGAGACAGGGGCAGTCAGCTTTTATCAGTGTGCAAGAGTTGTTAAGCTTTTGCACCTTAACACAATAGGAGTGTATTCTTGTAAGTCTTAAGTGGGAATTACTGTTTCTCCAGAAGGAAACAAATCATGGCTGACGACTCCCAGAGAAACTTTCGCTCAGTGTATTATGAAAAAGTGGGATTTCGTGGAGTTGAAGAAAAGAAGTCATTGGAAATTCTCTTAAAAGATGACCGGCTGGGCAAGTTGATTTCAGTTTCCTCTATTTGCTTCGGGGATTTGGTGATGGGGAGGGAAGAACAGGGAATGTTTAGCTGCTGTACTTAGTACTAAAATGGTTTTTTAAAACTATTAAAGATTTGTGTCTCCCTGTTGGTTTTTTTTTTTTTCCTCCTCTCATTCTGTGCCCAAGAAACTAAAAGTTTTTTTATAAAAGCAGTTTTAATCTGAGAATGTGTTGTCTCATGCTGTTAACTCCATCTAACCTCAAAACAATGAAGATTTCATTATTACTGTTGGTCCCCGAAGAGTGCCACATCTCTTAACAGAACAGAAAGTTAAATGTTCTTTTAAAGAAGCCCTTAATTGTTTTGAAATAGCAACATGATTTACAAAATGTCCATAAAAATGCTAGTTTGTTCCTAGTGAACCTTAGGGTAGTCTTATTGTAAATCAAGCCAATGCTTATATTTTTCAAGATTGTTGCAGTTTATAGGACACATTCTGTTCCCACTTGAAGTAGTGAAAGTGTTTGCTGATAATACATGAGGAAAGTGGGGATTTCCATCTGCGGCAAAGGATTTGTCATGCTTAGGTAGATCAGAGACTCAAACTGATTTATAAATGACATTTAAATTTAACGTATTTTTTTTTCTTCTTTATATCTCTACAGATATTGAGAAGCTTTGCACATTTAGTCAAAGGTTTCCTCTCCCATCCATGTATCGTATACTGGTGTGGAAGGTGCTTTTAGGTATGAAGTATAACGTTTGTGATACTCTGTAGAAATAAGTATATAGGAAAGCGTATTTTTTTTTTCCTTTGGCGAATTAATGATACAGATAGTTCTATCCTACCATACCTACTGATACATAGTTAGTCTATCTTGTGTCTCCCTAGGATGTCCAGTGGCAGTTATAAAACAATAATTCCATGTGTGGTTTCTGAGAACTTTTGCTGAAGTATACCTAGAAGAGTGTATTTCTGTATTTAACTTTGTAACACCATCTCAGCAAATTTATAAGATGGATTTGAAAGGCAGATTATAGTAAGTTGCTCATACCTGATAAGAAGATACGCAGATCTGTTCCTAAAATAACAGACAAGGAAGTTGAAGTGAAGGTGTGATTGAACTTAGAAAAACTGGGCAAGGTATGGGATGAATGTTTATTGTAAAGAGAAACTTTGTGTTCTGAAAAATCGTCTGGGTTTGATTCTGTCTTTAAATTGTACTTGAAGTTGAAGAAGTTACAAGGCAAGAGATTAAATTACAGTATCCCCTGGAATGCATAGAAAAGCTCGTAAATAGATTGTTACCCTTTAAGTGCATTAGATGACTAACTCAAAAGTACTAATGACTTTGCAGTAACTGGTCAAGAGTGTTGGGTTTATGAGATATGAGGTTGTGTTGCTTGGAGACAGGAGGTGTATCTAGAGAGTTTCCATAAGAGTTTGCTGCATTTAGAGAAACTGTCAGATGGAGCGTGAAGGAACAGCATCTGACTGAATTTCCGTTGGTGGTGAAGTGTTGTGCCACTTTTGAAAAGCTTGAGTGTGGCTCCCATGTCTCGTATTATTACCAGGGCTGTGCTGGCAGGAAGGGTGCTGATTATGCAAAATACTGTTTCATCAGGGAGAGACCAGCAGCATCAGTTTGCAGATTGGCTTGGAAGCTGCTGTCTTTTGCTGTCCGTGAACTGTTCTACTTCTTTGTCCTTTGGCTTTCCAGAATATGTGATACAGCTCCCATATATATCTCCTACAACAAAATTTTGGCATGTGAGTCAAAGTTGGAAAGACTGGTGATTTCATAATGAGTATTTTACAAAAAACCCAGGTTTTCTCAGCTGTAGGATGTTTATTAATCTTAGGCTGTGCCTTGATCTTGAACAGTGTTCAAATAAGTACTTTCCGTTTTAGGTCTCCCTGTTCCACTACAGTGACTGGAGTTTCAAATAATGCATTAGAAAATGTTAGCCGAGTTGTAAACAATCTTTTTCTCCCTTCTGTTTTTTCCTTCCAGTTTAAAAATTGTAGCTTTGTATTCCTGATTATTTGAATTTTTAAGTCTCTTTTGGGGAGAGGTAGTAAATGAAGAGTGTGCACAAGGTGCAAGATCTAATTAGAAAACTTGAAGTTCTTGGCATTGATTGTTGAACTAACTGTAACAGTGGCTTGATAAAAACCTCTGCCATTAGAGTACTAACTCCAGGGTGAAAAAGATTCTTGTACTCTAGGCACTAGTTAAGTAGTCTGCATCCATTAAAATATTAGTAGTAGGTAATATAGTGTAGGAAGCTTGGACAAGTGACTCAGTAGAAGATCCTTCAGCCAAAATTATAATAGTGTAATACAGTCTCTTAGCAAAATTGTAGCAGAGTCAGTGGTCTTTAACTGTTTTAGATAGGGTGATTTCTGATTTGTTTGGTACCATACCTTCTGAGTTAACTGTATGAAAAATTAAATTGATTTTTTAAAAGAATTTTGTATTTTAAACCCAGGGTGATTTGTTTCAAATATGCATACAGTGAACAGAAGTACGAAGACTTCTCCTACAATGGATCTCGGTGTTAACACTTGTTAGAAAAGCTTATATTCAGAAGGGAAGTACAAAATATCTCTCCCTAGATGACTAGAACAACAGCCCAGTCCATTTCTAGTGGGAGGCATTACATCTCCACTAAATAATATTAATAGTTTAACAAAAGGAATTCTGTGAGCAAAATTATCTCACAAAACAAAGCTTGGTGCTGTCCCAGGGTACATGGTATGTCAGTGATGTCTCTGTTAACTTCCTGTTTAGTTTGTCTCGTGGTGGTTTCTAGACATCTCTGAATTGTTTAAGCCTATTGTCTGTCTGCCTAAGGTAGTTTTCTGTATTTGAGGAAAGCAGTTGGTGGTGTATACATACAAAGTTATGATGTTGACTCTGTTTTTGCATAACATGAAAAATGCCTTGTTTTGTTCCAGCTTTTGAAATGCAGACGGGTTTACAGTTGGAAAATAAAAGATGATTTTCTGTCAGATGTGCATATTACTAAAACTCAGCCATTTCCTGGTTTAACACTTGGCAGAAATACTTTTTTCTTTCAATGAGAAATAAAAGCAGCAGGTGGCCTGTTTCAGAACTGATTTTTGAAGAGTACTTTGTTCTCATGGCTTTCTAAAACAGATCTGCTCCATTGGAAGTGGCATTTTTTTCTTTGGTGTATGTAAGATCTTATTTCTGTTGAAACCTGTGACAGTTTTGTTTGGACATAAGTGCATGGCAAGATTGAGTCTTGAGTAAGGAGAAGGATCAAGTGAAATGTTGAGCATCTCTTCTGGAAGTCATAGTTTAATTTTTTCTGCTTTTCTACTTGGATACTTCCTCTCAACCACCTTTTTTTTTTATCCTCCTAGGAAACTAGAAAAATATTGGTGGTGTGCTAAGAAAGTAGGAATGTTACCTTGCAAAGTATTTGCATGATATTCTTAAGTTTTAATCTGCAATTGATTCAACCTATGTGATTGACTTCACTTCTAAATGTTGTTTTAGAGAGGATTAATCTCTGATACAGTGAGTATATGATTTTCTGGCGAGATCTAACAGTAAATTGGATAGTACTGGAATGTATGGTATCTTTGTGTGCGTGTGTATATTCTCTGGTCATCCCAGACAAAGTGTAGAATTCGAGAATATGCACAGCTAATGTCTATAAAAATCATTCTGTGCTGACTTTGTTTTCAAAATAAATATATAAAAATATATCTGGATATATTATATTACTGCATCAAAAACTACAGGTGGATATAAACAAGTAAGATTCACAATTTAAAGATACAAGTTGTTGGAGGAGGAGAATAAGCCAGTCAAATTATTTTTTTATCTACCCCAACAATGACGTTTCTTACCAGAGCATTGCTGTGGTATGCAAGAGAGTTAGTGTTCTGAAAACCTTGTAGAAGAGTTTGAGAAGCAATAATTTAAGGGTAGATTTTGCCTATACTCAGTTGACATATAAAATTTGTTTTTATAAATATAATGCTAAAGTGCGTTGTTTGTCCATTGACTTCCAGTTTGGTAGAATTTTCTCCCTGTATTCTTTGACCAGGTTTATAAACAAACTGCAGTGCCAGGTCCTACAGTTCTGTAGGCTCGAGTTGTAATAGAAATTGAATTTAGGCAGATCTCTTGAAAAAGGAGCTTGTGCTCAGCTTTTTGTCTTTACAGTTGCTTATCTTTTTTCTATGTTTTGTTTTTTAGGAATTATTCCCCCTCACCATGAATCTCATGCTTTGGTGATGAAGTACCGGAAGGAGCAGTACTGGGATATACACCATGCTCTCCATGTAATTCGTTTTATCAATGATTCTACCCCACAGGTAGATGTTTTCCTCCGCATACATCAACTGGAATCAGGAAAACTGCCTCGAAACTTGGCTTTTCCATTGGTCAGTTGTCATTTTAACAGTGTTTTAAATATAGTATTATTTAACTTCAAACTATAAACCTGTGAAAAACTGAACTGCAAGTAGCCCCACAAAGGCATGTAGATAGGCAAAGTAAGGTGAATGGAAACCAGAGAAGTACTAGTATGAAATTACAAGGGATTCTTAGGGATTTTAGTCAAAGTGCTATTCTCTTTTTCTTCCCCTGTGTACTTACTTAAAATTTTATGCCTTAAAATCTCTTTTGTGTATTTTGCCTGTTGGGTTTTCAAGCCTTTTGTACTCTTTGCACCGTACAGTTTCTTTATAGTACTGAAATGAAAATGACAGTCTTACTAGAGCTCATAGATTCTTCAATGTCCTGGAACAAGGATAATTCAGAGCCAGTACAAGCAGCAATTTATTGCAGATTACATTGTATATTTAAATTATTTGGTTTTAAATCTAGACTTTAATGTACTGACTTCCTTTTTCTGTTAGGGTGAACTTATCCAGGTTTCTGTGAGGTCATGTATTGTGTGGTTTAGAGAATACTCACATAAAAGTAAACAAATCTATGGTTTGATATAAGTCTGGACTGTGGTGATGAAAGCAATGTGTGGATCTTGTGTATAAGCCTGTATGAAAGAGCAGGTGATGAAAGGAGCTGTGGGACTTTCTGAAGTGAATTTTATCCTGTATTTACTGTTAATTTAACCATAGCCCAACTTACTTCGTTATTTTTTCATCTGTAATAAAAAAATCTGACACATGGTTTTAAAGTTGAAAAAAAAAAAGTTAAAGTCAATATGGAAAATTCAGTAAGACTTTGGAGTATTATATATAGCTTTCTCTTGTTAGAGGAGGGGAAGTGTTTTCTTGCCTTTAGCATTGCCTGGGAATGTGGCCATCCTGCCATGCAGGTTTCCTATAGAGAAATTTCCTTGATGTGTCCTAGTGGGCTGAAAATTCATCCCTTCTGGAGCAGCACTGCTTTCTGATCAGGTGTCAGTGCATCCTAGAGCACTAGCTGCTCTCAGTCCTGTTATGGCGTTTCATGGAAATGGTGTTCAGCAGATCCACAGTTATTAGTCCTGTAACTTATTTTTGTTTTGCTGCAGAAAGCATTTGTTCTCTTTATGACAGCCTCTTTTCAGTGCAGTAACTGTCTTCTTAAACTTACAAGAGGTCACTGTTAGATAGTAATGCAGGTGTTTTATTGTGGAGGCAGAGGGAGTATAAAGGTGATGTTAGATTGGTCTCAACATTTTAAATGTTTGAGTAAGAAATCACAGAAGTCTGCTAAGTATGTTGTGTGCATCTGTAAGAAGAGAGTTTAAGTAGGGATATGTGTGTATTGCATCAGTCCGTGTAGCAGAGGCATACCCCGGAAGTATTTGGACTATCCACTCATTTTGCACAAGTCGTAATCTGTGCAAAAGCCTGTGTTACTGTAGTTTACTGCTACTGGTGGTTACAGTAGATCAGACTGTGGATACCTGTCTGGCTTGTTGGCCTGCCTCCTAATGTGGTCAGTACTGCCTGCATAAAGGATACTGTAAGAAACAGGGCAAATTTAAGAGACTTGCCTTGTGCACCTTCCCAGTTTAGCCACTTCCTGACCTAGCTGTTGGCATGAGGTCTTGCTGGTTTAGGGTCAGTTCACCTCCATCTACTCTATGTGCAGTCATACCAGTAACTGTGCTCTAGGCATGCTGATACTTATGTTAGGAAAGTATATTCTCAGGAGAAAAGAAGATGGTGTGCCCATCACATGCTTCTGGTCATGTATTGTGGGGAATAAGATGCTTGTCACCTAGAAAAGATATTTGTCTTCAGGAAGATTTTTATCACAAACCAAATGATTTTCTGTAATTTGGGGGTAGGTTTACAGCTCATGGCTGCATTATTTTTTTTACAGTAATTGTAACAACCTTGAGAGAAGTGTTTGAGGGGCCTGTTTGGCCCCTAGCAAGGAACAGGATGAAGGATTTTGCTGCTGTGCACTATAAAAATATTGGGTATAGAAGCAGGAGTATTGCTACCTTGTTAGGATATAATATCATCTCATTTGAGAGCTTTGAATCAGAGTTGTTCCAAACATGTTCTGGTTTTAAAAGCAAGACAAGTCTTGACTTGTACTGTATTAATAGGTATCTGTTACTATAATGCAAGGAAACGGAATATAAAAATAATTTAAATCAGGTAATGTAGTTCACTTTTTTGGCTTTGTTTTCCAGGAACCTGAAGATGAAGTGTTTCTTGCTATTGCTAAAGCAATGGAGGAAATGGTGGAGGATCCCATAGAATGCTATTGGCTTGTCAGTTGCTTTGTGAATCAGCTAAACAGCAAGCACAAAGATTCATTACAACAACTTGTAAGGAAAAAACCCACTTTCTTCTGTTTTTTTTTTTTTTTTTTTTGCTTTGTTTTGTTGTTTTGTTTTGTTGGTTTTGTTTGTTTGTTGTTTTTTTCCCAAGGAGAGCCAGTCATGGAAATCATTAACATGTGGAGACAGCTGGAGCAACAGAGGTGACACCTTTGAATTCTCTTCACCACCTGTTTTGAGAAAATGGGAATGCTTTTTGTATTGTGATTGTGCTGTCCTGTAGGACACTGTCTAACATAACATTAGAAATTGTTTTTATTTGCTACATCAATTGCATCTTATTTTACTTTTAGGTTAGCTAAAGCTTACTTTGTATGTAGTTGAATTGTATTTCTCACAAATTGGTCACTTAAGAATTTTCCTTATTTTAAGCAATTAAAATTACCACAAAGTCAGGAACAACTTGTCTGCTACTTTTTAGGCCGCATCTCTGGCATCCATCTGCTAATTATTGGATGACAGACAAAACACAATTGTTTTGTTTTTAAATGGAGGAGGGTACAAGATCTTCAGAAAATCAGTGTGTTAACAAATTAAATTATAATGAAAAGTAGAATAGAGTTCTTCTGGCACTGATCATTTAGATGCTCTCATTTCTTAATGGTCTGTAAAGTTAAAATTTTGTTGTAAAGAAAATGCATACTTACATGCATACTTACTTTGTAATTCTTCAGATTGTCTTAACAAATAAAAAACTTGAGGTAACAGTCATCACTGACATAAGAGCAGCCATGCATTAGCAATCGCTGAATGAAAATTAGTTGCAGAAAATTACGCATGTCCTTTGTTACTCTTTGGAACAAAGAAATACTTTTTAAACCCACTTCCTGTTGCTGGAGGTGATACATTCAGCTATACCCATTTCTAGAATTCTTTTCAAAGGACAGAAGAGCATTTTTGAAGTATGTGGTTTTGGTACAAAGAAAGAGTGAATTGCCTCCCTCCCTAAGTTTTTGTTCTGATACAAACATTGTACCAAGATGTTGGATTTTAGAATATGGACAAAGGAAGCGTTTTCTTCCTTTGACAGGTGGAGTCATTAGCTGTCTACCTAATTATGGCAAAAAGCATAAAGGTACTTCTGAATTTATGAAAATTAGATTAGAATTTAAACAAAATGAGTTATTCATGTTTTTATGTGGAGAATTGTTCACATGTTTATACTTCTGAATAGTTTGGATTTTAAAACAAATTAATGTCCAACTTTTAATATGTTGCACAGGGATTTACTTTCAGAATTTATTTTCTGGAGTTTGCTGCACTGTGTGCAGATTTTTTCTGATGTGTGCTAACAGTATTATGTTTGAGGTGAATGAAACTCAGTGTTAGCTTGTGAAGATGGCAGTAATTAGTGCATGTTTGATCTCCGCATTGCCTTAAGGTCTCAAACACCTCATCGCCTTAGGGAATGCTGCCTATGGTCAGCAATTTAAGGAACATGTGATTGGTTGTTTAGTTAAGAAGTACTTAATTAGCTACTTGCAAAAGTTATCATGTATTTTTGGAACATGATGTGTGTAGTTAAAACAATGCGAGTTCATTACTTTAATACATTATTTTATGAGATTGAATTTTTAACACATTTTGTGTCTATCAGTGTATGTTAACTGTGGAGGGTACTCTGATGTGAGTTACCTAAAAGTTTCCAACTCTTTTAACAGCCAAAGATTCTGGAGCAGTATTTGAACATTGAAGATAACCGACTGCTGATGCATCTAAAAGCATGTGCTGCCATGAGCAAACTCCCATACGATCTTTGGTTTAAAAAGTGTTTTGCAGGCTGTTTACCTGAGTGCAGTTTACAGAGGCAAGTGATCTTTTTTTTTTTCTTTCTGTTTGTAATTATATAGTAATACAAGTTTTATATATATAATTATATAGTAATACAAGTTTTGAGCTTTTCTTAATTTATTTGTAAGATTATGGAGTTTACTGTTGACTTGGAAGTTATGAAACTGGGTTTGATTCCACTTGTTATAGATGCAAGATAAGCTCTGTGTGATCGTTCCTGGCATTGAAATGAAAAAAGAATGGACTTAAATATAGCGGCTGATTCCATTAGGCACTTAATGGCTCCTAGGATTTAAAAACTACAAATCCTCTTTTAGTGATAGATAGCTGAATGGTAGTCGGTTTTCAGGCTTTTTAACCAAAATCCTTGCTTAGGGAGTGGTTATGATACTGTATTATCATTAGATTAAAAAGATTTTGGAAATATGTACTGGTATTGGCTGATAAAGAGTTATGTTTCTTCATAGTAGCTGGTATGGCGCAATATTTTGGATTTGTGCTGAAAACAGTGTTGATAACACATGGAAATGTTTTAGTAGTTGCTGAGCAGTGCTTACACAGAGCCGAGGCCTTTTCTGCTCCTTAGACCACCCCACCATCGAGCAGGCTGGGGGTTCACAATAAGTTAGGAGGCTACACAGCCTGGACAGCTGCCCCAACTGTCCCAAAGGATATTCCATACCGGATGGCATCATGCTCAGCATTAAAACTGGGGCAGAGGTTGTTGGGTGGGCTGCCACTTAGCAACTTATTGGGCATTTAAAAGATGAAAATTCTTGTGCATGGACCTTCATGGAAGGGCTTTTGAAACGAAGCTTGTATTATTTCTGTAGTTTTGCTGCGTGAGGACTCTTGGAAAGCAGAAAATTCAAGCTACACGTAGAGAAGTGTATCCTTTCTGCATTAACAAGAGTTCCTAGTAGCTGAGCAGTAGGTGCCACAAAGAAAACAATGGTTTCATTTTCAGCTGCCTGAAAATTTTGAGCAGTAACAAGGTTCAATTGAAGTTCTACTCCAGGACTTCAGTGGCTGGTATAGGAACCTAGTGTGGAAACAGAGACTTCTGTAAAATGCTCTTCAGGAAATGCTTTATGGTGTTTTAGTAAAAATGTTTTATTTGCCCATATGAAAATAAGGGGGGGGGGGTTAGGAACAAGCTATGACATTATAAATCATGCTCTCTGGTATTGTTGTACTATGGTCTTTGAGGTTCTGTTTCGGCTAGGAATATGTCTCAGAGGAAAAAAAAACTGGAGGATTTGGTAGTAGACCTTTTAGGTGTTTTGCTGTTTGCAGCATGGTAATTTTTACATGGTAAGTGCTTTTCATCAACCACCTGTAATGCTGCAAATTAGGCACCTCTTTGTAGTGTTTGTGTGTGATGTGGTGGGTAAAAGCATCTACTACTTTTATGGTTACAGAATTATGTAAGCATGCATGAAAGGTTTGTTACTTCCTTAAAAGCAGTTGAACGTGTATGGTTTGCCTGTATCTTGATTTCACATTTGCATTTATAGGTTACTTTCAGTGGGTAATGCTTTCATTATGCTTTCTTTGTATGAAACCTATTGCCTTAAAACTTAAATGACTGTCAGTAGAAGCGACTGCTCTACCTGGGACTTGCCTCTTCAGGCCTTTTCTTCTGTAGGCTTTTGTGATATGAAATAGCCTTTGCAAACTACTGCATAAGGAACCTCTTTACATGTCTTCTAGCAGATGGTTTTCTTTAGAGTTTATGTGATCCAATTTTACTACTAGGTCTCAGAGCTGAGAACTTGAACTGAAAGAGGAATTTGCATCACAGCAGTTTTGCTCTTGGATGATTTGGGATTTTTATTTTTTTTAAATTCTGCTGAAAATGTAAGATTTTATGGAGCTGTGTCATCTTTGTAGTGTAAAAGAAAAAATATGGATAAATTTTGATTTCATATTTCATCTTGTCAGAATCTTTTCGTTTCAAAGTTCTATGATTTTGAATCAGTTAATTTTTACAAAATAGCTTGTGTAGCTAGTGTGTTGTTCAGCATTGTTATATACTGTTTTACCTTACTGAGGTAGAAAATGTTGATGACCAGAAATTTTTTTTAATACTTTTTTTTTCCTCATGGAAAAGGTCAAAATACTGTCTTTTTGTATCACTCCGGAGTAAACCCAAATTTCAGTGTTAGTGCTTCTAATGGCACATCAGTCCCTTTTCCCAACAGTTCTTGTGGGAACGTGACAAAGGTGTACTTTTTATTGCCAGTTTAGGTTTCTGCATTATTCAGTTGTAATCATAACAGCCTCATTTGCTAAGGAAATAACATACTTCATGGGTAACATGTGACAGATGAACTTAATTAATGCTTGGATTGCTTCAGTTTGGATTAGAATCTAGAAGCCCAAATGCTTATCTGAAATGTATCCAAATGCCAGTGTTGGAACTGCTGAGAATTAAAAACAGGTCTCCAGTTCTCTGGGTTTTACTTAACTTTTTGTCAAGTGAGAGATGATCAGAGCTCAATCTTATGTGATTTAATTTAATTTATGATTTAGCACTGTATTTCTTAGAGATGTTGCTTGCTCTTTATAAACTGTATGCATCTCTGCCAGGCAGCTAAATCTAAATTTCATGGTTTTCTCTTTTTCTCTAAGGTGTATAAGATTTGTATATGCTATGCAGAAATTTATCCAATCCTGGTGATATGAGGTTGCATAATACCAGCTTTAATCCTGACAGGCATTGTCATTCAGTATAAATACTGGTTTATAGCACACTTCTAGTTATAGCATAGGTAAAATTTATATACCAGTTTAATTTAAAGGGACTTGGAAAATTTATATAGACAGGTTTAATGTAGAAACTTTTCCTTTGATCTTAGCTAGTGTCTTTGCTAGCCCCTTTGTTTGCATTTGAAATATTATGCAACATGCTTCTTAACAAACTTTTACCAATGGTAAAAGAAAGCAGCAGAGTGGGTATTTTGAAGGCGCTGTATCCTCAGGGCTCTGTATCCCACCTGGAATATAGGCAGGGTGCTTCCTGGGAGATGAACTAGCCTGTAGCACGGGCAATAAAGGCTTACTCTTTGCTGAAACAGGGAGAGAACTGGATCACACCTTTTGTTTTTCTACCCACCATTGCTGTATTTACTCATTTTATGCAACAGTGTATCTAGTCATCTGTTCAGTAAGCTCCATGTGTGGAGCTTTCCAGTGGTGCTGTGTAGGCCCTTAGCTGGAGAGCCCTGCTGTTAAAAGCTTACTGTCCATTCTGTGGCTTCTGCTCTACGGGCAAAATGGTGCTTTGTCTCCCAGTTTATTCCAGCGCTGTCACCCCAGGTGATTCAGCTACAACAGCAGTCCTGTGGCTTTGCAGATAAAATAGTGGAAAGCGAGGCATTTTTTATGGCCTCATTGTCAATTGAGTATCTTCCCCCGACGGACATTGTTTGCATTCGGCACTGAAGACTTGGTATTAGCAGGACTGTAATAGCTGGTGGGGTGGTGTTAGGTTATTAGCCTCTAGTAACTTGTTTGTGGCAAAGTATTTGGTAGTTCTCCTGAAATCTCTTGACTGCCTTTCAAACTGGCACTATGTCATGTGTTGATGCATGGTTTCTAGAGTTTGACATCTGACCTCTCCATGTGCTGCATAAATTGCATCTAGTCATGAAAATGCAAGTAATTTGTTAGTAGAAACAACAGAAATATGAAGAATGCCTTAGATTTATTGTAGAGTGGGAGGACATAAGAATATGCATGTGGACTAGTACAGAGAAACTTAGGTTGATTTGCCTTTAAGTAACTCAGTTGCCTTGCACCTCTGGTAAGGACACCAGGAAGTGCAGGCAGAGGTTTAAACAGGTTCTCTTTGAATATCTCTGGGTGACTGGAGAACCAAAACCAGGGAATAAGGTTGAGAGTGTTTACCCTGCAGCCTAGGGGCTGCATGTGAGGTGTGATGTGTGACATGTGAGGTTAATGACAATATCTAAGAAAAAGAGTGAGCAGCAGCGATGTGATGCTGTTTGGATACTGCTTGACAGTCATGACTGTGGACCCTCAGGAACTGCCTTGAAGAGTAAGTTGTATCTTGTCTAGAGAACTCAGTGAAAAGTTAATGGGTTCATTGGCATAATCTTTGGCATGCTCTTTACCTTCATAGCTTCCTGTCTTTAATTTTCCTTGCAGTTGTTACTGTTTTACTATTCAAGAAATACTAGAGTGCTCCTGTGGTTAATTGAATACTGTTGTCTTTCACAGAGAATGATAGTCACAAAAACTATAATGAATTTATTGTGTGCTTTCTTTTTCATCATTGCTGAGTAGGGCTATAGGCACAGTTGCATAACATTTCTGTTCTAGTTACCCCATCTCCAGGAGTATCAAAAAAAAAAAAGAGTAAAAAGTTGCAATCTCTGACAGGAAACTTGCTGTTAACTTAAAAAGTGAAAGCAGAATACATAGGTTATCATCTCTAGAGACACAATGTGTAAAGGCTACTGTATTAGAATAGAATCAGCAAAATACATGTTTCCTTGGAACTGCTGTGGGTTATTTCTACTCTAATTAAACACTTTGCTGACAGTTTATGTTGTCATTCCTGGCTCTGTTGGGATAGCAAGGTGTTGAGTGCTGCTCTGTTTATCGCAGTGTCACAGTCATTCCCCTATTGCTGTTGCTGGTGGAGTAACAATAACTGGAAATGTTAAAGTGAAAAATACAGCAGACACAGCTGGTTAGTGCTGACATCTCATCCACTTTTCTATGCACCTTCTTCCAAAGCTTGTTAGACACTGATGATTTAGATACTATCTGTTTTGCCAGTGTTAAAACTTCGTTCTGGAATCAGACTAAATAGTGAAGGAAAGCATTAGAGTGTTTTCTGAGCGTGAATGTAACCTGCTGTAATATAATTATAGAGACGCAAGTCAGGAGACTTGAAAGCAAAATAATGAAAGAAGGCTGGGTGTTTTGTATTAGGATTAGTAAATTTGTTTTTGAATTAGCCTGAACTTCAATATGAACTTTAAAATTTTTTTGCTGTTTTTGAGGTCTGCTGCTCTCAGTATTGTCATTCATAACTTACAGTTCTGATGGCTGCGAAATGCTTGGGGATCTGCTCTTGGATTGTGAACAGATATGTTTGTGAAGGAAAATGCATTAGAAGTAAAAAGGGTTGACCTGTACAGTGTGGAACAGGAATGTGATCTCGGTTTTCTCATAGCCTTTCTTAGAGCTTCTAGACCTGACTTCAACACCAGTGGGATATTTACAGTGAACACTTGGCCTGGATGCTTGAATCACAAAGGAAGCAGTAAGATTTTAAACTGAGTTATTGATTGTTCCTGCCCATATTGGAATTCTTTCAATTTTTTTTTTTTAAATCATAGTGAGACAGGGAATTAAGACTGAATTGTAAAGGGGAAAGAAATAGGCAGTACCTTTTTACCCATCTGTCTCTGTATGGCTTTTTTTTTGTTTCCTTTTTGGTTTTTTATTTTTTAAGAGTAGTCTTGGGGATTTGACATATTTCTTTCCTCATTTCTTCATTATAAGTTAAATTCTGGTCTATTTTTTGTGGGTTTTTTTAAGAATGAAGAGGTCAGTATAGTGTCAAAAGAATTATATGAATAGAAGGTTAAGAAACTGACCGAGAATTGACTTGAGTTACAGTGTGAAAAATAAGCACAGTGTAACAGCAGCAAGCATTTGACATTAGGACTTACAAGTGCTTTTCACAAAAAATCACAGAGAGGATGGGGTTGGCAGGGACCTCTGGATGTCATCTGGTCCTTCCAGCCCCTCTGCTCAAGCAGGAAGTTGCCCTGGGCAGCCCATGCCAGTGCTTGGTCACCGTCACAGTGAAAAGGCGTTTCCTGATGTTCATAGAGAGCCTCTTGTGTTTCAGTTTGTCCTTCTGGTCCTGTCACTGGGCACCACTAAGCCTGGCTCCATCCTTTTTGCACTCTCCCTTCATGTATTTATGCACACTGATGAGTTCCCCCCTGAGCCTTCTCTCCTTCGGGCTGAACAGCCCCAACTCTCTCAGCCTTTCCTAACAGGAGAAATATTTCAGTCCCTTAATCATTTTAATGGCTCTTTGTTGTAGTCTCACTTCTTAACTCATTTAAAGGTGTGACCCCCACTCTTTAGTTCAGCTGTCAGAGTTCATGTTATGCCTGCGTTGTGTTCTCCTGGCACACTCAAGGCTGAAGGGCAAGTTCTGAGAGAAAAGGTCATATGAAAATTGACCTATCTTTGGAAGAAGCACACCCATAGATCTCAGTTTATAGGTTGGCTGCAAAAGATGTTTTCCAGTTAATGTTACTGTATTCAGAGGTTATGGAGGATAGTATGTGATCTTTGTCCTCCATGGTTTTGTTTGGAAGGAGAAATACTGTTAACAAGTGCCCAGGGGAAGCGAGAACAGTAATCCTCAGAAAGTCTGACACAGCTCTTAAAATTCAAGAACTAAAAATAAAGCAAACTCATAAAAGCTGCCATCTGACAGATGGTTTCACACTGGTTTTGGATAATCTTTCATCCCGAGTCTGTTCAGTTGGGACTGAGATATAGCTGCTGGATGAAGGATGATTTCAGATTGTTGCAGGCTGTTTTGTTAGTGAGGATCCCTTTTAATATTCATTGAAGTTCTGTTGCTAAAGTACTTGCAGCCTTTGGAGACCTGCCCTTCAGTTTTTGTTAAAACTGTGAGATCCAGGGACAGTTTCCTACAAGTGGTAGGAATGCTTAGGTAATTCTGAGAGAGTCTGTGCACACAGTGGGATGGATTGAAAGACTTAATAGTTGTTCTTCCTGTCTAATTTCAACATCACGGCTTGTATCCTGCTGATGTATCGTATTTGCTTCTCATACAGCAGTGACCTGGGATACTTGAGATGTGGTTGCTAGTATTACATCTTTCTGAATTCTCAGCTACTTAGCTGTCTGAAGAGTGTCTTTATTAGGAGTAGTAATAAAGCTTGTTTTCTTTTTGCACTAGGAAAAATTCACACCTATACCATATGCTGTAGAATTGTTTTCACAGTTCAGGCTATTAAAACAAGATTTGCTTTCTGTATTTGAGCTTGTAAACAGTCCCATTTCTAAACAAGACCACACCATATCAGTATGTTACTATGTGCTATCACTCTGCTCTGTACAGATGTAGGAGTTGATAAAATGTCTTTTGTTTACCTTGACTGGAATAATTCAATACATTACTGTTATTCAGAGAAAAAGTCTGGAAAAAGGTGATTATGCGAAGACTGTTCTAGCAGATAAATAAGCAGATAAACACAACATAATGTTTGGTGATTCCTTTTCATTTTTCTTTTTTGTAGAGTTTGGGACAAAGTTATAAGTGGGTCCTGCAAGATTCTTGTTTTTGTTGCTGTGGAGATATTACTAACCTTTAAAATGAAGATAGTAGCACTGAATACTGCAGAAAAGATCACACAGTTTTTGGAAAATGTAAGTACTCTGTGCTTCATATTACCTTTTATGGTTTATAAACATGTCTTTCATCCTTAGTCGTTTGCATGTTTAAAACATACCATAGGATACTATCCCATTACTTACTAAGAATAATATAGTAGTACCAAGGTGAAGAGAGAATGCGCAGGCATGAGAACGGTAGCTTTTTTCTGTCTGGAGATAAGGCTTTCATAGAGTGAAGTGATTTTTTAGGCTTTGTCAATGTCATCCATGTTTGTACAGATTTGGCAGTATTCCTTGTGATACTGAAGGGCTTTTCTGTGAAAGTAAGTGCAGGTGAGGTTAGGTTAATGTTTCTGGAAGCTCCTTAGAGGGTTGATTTCTGGCACTTTCTTTGCTCCTTGTCTGAATGTGAATCTATAGACTTGGGGTATGTTTTCTGTTGATGTAAGGATGGGGTCATGAACATGACTCTGAACGTTCCTGCTGAGAATAGTAATGAGCATCACAGCAGGGCTGTAGGATCCCAGTGTAACCTAGGTTAGTTAGATTAGACATATTTGTGGTCATGGATGGTCAGTACGAATTCTGCGTGATGTCAGGTTAGAGATGTCTGAAGTGTGATATGCCTGGTGGTCACCTTACCCTTTTGTAAATAGAAGGTTTTTGTCTAAAACCTGGAAATAATATGATGCATGAAGGACTGAGGGATAGTGGGATGGTAGGGTGGGGAGATAAGATTCTAGTTTAGTTTTCTTTTTTATAATGAGAGAAAACCTGAACTGGAAATTAAAACCTGTATTTTAAATAAAATAGTCCAAATGAAGTACTCTGACAAGGCATTCTGCCCTGATCTTTTGTAGATTCCTCAAGATAACACCGATGCTATTGTCAGCAAAGCTGTTGACCTGTGGCGCGCACACTGTGGGACTCCAGCACACTCAGTCTGAGAACTTTCTTTGCTTATGACAGCTTGGGGAAAAAAAAGACATTTGAAAAGACATTTCACCACTCTTCCCCTATCTTAGTGTGATGTTCTTCATTACCTCTTTTATGTAAAGATGCTACTAAGGCAGCTAATAGCATGGTGATCAATATGTAAATATTTTTCAATAAATACAGATGGCACAAAGATACCTAGTGGCACTGTGATCATGCCCAGAGTGTTTGCTGGCCAGCCAGCTACAGTGTTCTGATTGCACAGTGTGCACACTGCCTTTGGGGGAAGTAAATGTGACTCTTGAAGCAAGGTAAACAGACTTGTTTTTGTATGCCAGTTTATACTTGATATAACTAGTTAGTACTTGGCAGTGTTATAAGGTGAATTTATTAAACGTTAGTGTGCTGGAGCTCATTGGTGAGTAAGCATGCCTTTGCTAGAAATGCAACTGTACTCTATTAGTACTGTAAAGTTTCAGGTAAATGTTCAAGAAGAGGCATCAGAAGTTTGAGGTAGAGGGCATCACAATGATCCAGGGTGACATGCTTTTCTGAAGTGACTTAAAATACTTTCTTTTTGTTTGTCAGCCAGCTTTCTGTGGCTGTACCTCCTCCTCCTTTCTTCTTCAGGTAAGATGCTGTAGAATAGTGGATCTGTTTTGTCCCAAAATGTAGCTTTGGGCAAGTATGGAGAAAATCAGTGGACGAGTCAATATAGTTCTGAATGACAATCTAGTATTAAACAATGCCTCTGTTGAATGCTTAGCTCAAGGTTGTAATTTGATTCTTGTTTGGTTTAGATTTCAAAATAAATTTAACACACAAATGGAATTCATTATGTCATAAAAGTAGTGTGATTAGCCATAGGTAGTGATTTGCTGGAGAACTGATCTTTTTCTTGTAAAAGTATAAAATCATATTTCTACATCTTGCATAGACCAGGGAATTGTATATAAAATGTTGCTTAGCTGTTACTTGTCTCAAATTGAGGCTTAGTATGCCATGTGCCAAATATGCTCATGGCACTTGAAAGAGTGTGTTTAGCTTGCACTCGGTGTCATGCAGACTTGAAATGCTTTAGAAAGTTAACTTTAGTTTTAAAGTAGGTCAGGTTTATCTTCCAGAACATACGCTGGGGAAGCTTGGGACTTGGTGCAGGCTACACCTAAAAACATGGGTATATTATTTGTGCTGGATTCTGAGATGCTGCTGTTAGTGTTCCTGGAAGTGCCTCATTTCCCCCAGTTCACGAAAAGCATGTTTGTGTCTGCTCTGAAAGCCGTTGCTGTGTCTGTGTTGTAGTGTAATCCATTTAGTTCACTTCAGATGGGAGCTTGTTTTCCTAGTCTAGGCATGAAAGCTGGGTAGCATGGATAGGAAAGAGCATATACATTCTGTGAATAACAGCACTGAATACTGTAACATGCAGTGCACAAGATTTTCAAGTAATGGCTGCAGGTGCAATCTGAGAGAGTATCCATTTGAACATTTTTCCCTCAGGCTGCACAGTTTATTCACAAAACCTCCTAAGTCACATACGCATTATTCAGACCCTTAGACAGCAGATTACTTAGTCATTAAAAAAACAAGCACTGATGATGCTGGAGGTGTTAAGTAGTTTCAGTCCTGAAAGGAAATCAATAACTCGTATTCTGTGAAGACAGATGCACTGAATCAGGATTAGAATTACCCATTAGTGTTACTGCTCCCGGTCTTGCCAGTGCGTGCTCTCAGTGATGATCACTGTTTGACTGGAGGTTCTAAACGTTGCTTTTTGTGGGGCGGTTAGTTTTTAATCTAAAGCTTCCATCAATAGGCAGGTCCTGGAGCTGCACAGATGAGAAACAGAGGTCTGCCTTCACAGAGTCACAGAAGAGTTGAGGTTGGAAAGGACCTCTGGAGGTCACTGGGTCCAACCTCCTGCTCAGGCAGGGCCACCTAGAGCCAGTTGCCCTAAACGATGTCCAGACAGCTTTTGAATGTCTCTAGGGAGGGAGAGTCCACCACCTCTCCGGGCAACCTGTGCCTGTGTTTGGTCATCCTCACAGTAAAAATCTTCGTGTTTCCACATGAGCAACAGCAGTTTTACTTAACATTTTCAGTGTATGTGGGATGGATCCTCAAATGTTTTTCCACTGTAATGTCAGCTGACATTTGTGTGCAGCTTTTTCAGTTTCATGTACAAAGACAGAACAGGGGTGTTTCTTTAATGGAGATCATTATTTCTTCTGGGCTATGCTGAAAGAGGGGAGTTCTCTAGGGAACAGATAGTGGTTTAACTCCATGCTTCCTTCACTGATCTCATAAGAGATATTTGTGTGTATCTGAACAGATCCATTTCCAGGCTTTCACTGTGGATTTATGAGGGATACAGTTTATGCAGAAAACTGAATGAATTCCCAAGAGACTGAAAGTATGAATCTGGCTAACTTACACTCAGCTAATTTTTGGTGATGTCTGCTCAGTTAAACATAACGTGTTAGCTCTGAGACCTGCTTCCCAAGAGAGCACAAAAGCAAGATGTGAGCTTTCACTGTCCTCACCATGTGATGATCAGGGCGAGGCTGAGGCAAGACAGTTTAGAGTGGAATCTGCCATTTAGTCAGCCTTGGTCTGTGCCTCCAGCTGGGAGTTTGGCATATGTGGCTAACAATTGCTTTTGTACCTCTTGAACACCACAAATAGTGTAGTAGGCAGTTCAAGTTTGGTTATTTATCTGCTGTGGACTATTGCCTTATACAGATGATTTTGAAGCTGCACATAGTTGAGCCTCCAATAGCAAATCCCTGGCTAGGTAGTATGGGAAAGGGGTTACCTTTGCTATTTGTTTTCTGTTACCTCTGTGTCATTCGGGAGGAGTGTGGTCACAAGTCATCTGATGTTCATTTTTCTTGAGAAGCTTGAAAAATTAGGTATTTTTTCTTTATTTGCATTATTTCTCCCTGACTGGCAGAGCATGTAACTGCTTGTTGCATGCCTGTTTGTTCATAAAGAACTAGCTGCTGAGAGTGTTTCTTGGTTTATTCCTCTCTTCCTCCCCCCCCCCCCCCCCCTTTTTTTCCCCCTGGAAACAATAGGAACAACACTGATGCATTCATGTCTGAAAGCTCTCCCCTCAAGCCTTCTCCTGCCAAGTATCTTCATGGGCTTTGCAAACAAGAAAAATACGCTTAATTTGGTCCAGTTCTTCCCTCAAGCAGTACTTTCTCTCCAGAGAGGTTTAGAGCAATGCCACATGTCTGTGCTCTCCCGTGTTGCACACACCAAATCTTTTCCAGCTGATGTCCAAATGTGATGGAAACTCCAGATAAGAAAAGTAATGGCAGATGTCAGAGGATGATGCTTGAAAAATGATGAGTGATTTGAGGTCTGCCAAGGGGCCTAAGAGTACGGGAAAAGTGTAAGAGTATGGAGACAGAAGTGACTGAAGTACAGTAATTTAGAGCTGATCAAGTAACAGTGATGGAGAGTAGGTTCCTGCTGGTACGAGCTCAACTTTCAGGGACACGTGGGATGACCTCAGTTGAAGAGGATATGTCTCTGAACACTGGAGTTCCTAACCACGCAGCACAAATTCACTGACCAGCCAAGCTTTCATGCATTCTGCCACTTGGGGAAAGAATTCTATAAGCAATTTTGTACAGTGGCTAGGTGAGTGGAGGGTGGTGGTGCACCTCTGCATTGTGCCTTGACAGCTGCTCAACGGATGTGGGGATGACGGAAGCTATCAGCTCGTGCTGCTAAGGAGGGTGGCCACTATGTCCCATGCAGACTGGCTCAACTGTGTGACCAGGGCATGGCCATGCTGTTTGTTTTGGACTTGGTTGCCAGGGAACCCTGATCTGGGCTGTGAAGGGCAGAAACAGAGGTGAGGAAGATGATAGCAAAGCAGTCTCACCCCATACCTGCACCAAGGGCACTGAGCTCTTAGCCAGGTACTGCTAAGCAGCAGTGTGTTCTTGTATGTGTGGCAGTTTAATAGGAAATTGTGGGGTTTTTTTTCAGCCTCCTCTGTTTCCAGTCTAAAGGTGGTGGTAGATTGCCGTTTGAGTGCTAGGAATTACATGGGACTTTACTGAGGACACAGTAGGTTAGTGAAAACTTACGCAAAAGGAAACAAAGAATTTGGTCAGTTAAAGTATATGGACCTTCCATTTTTGTGTAGTGGAAAGGCTGGAAAGGCTGGGTGCATCAGAGGAGGGACGCGGCTCCCACCCGCCAGTTACAGTGAGGATGCTGGTGCTGGTTGTATCTTAGGGGTCCAGATTTTTGTACCATCAGTTACAAAAACTGAACAGCCTACGCAGCGCTGTTACTTCCTGTGCTTTCTGCAGGCTGCTGGTGAGACTGTTTGAAGGTACATACTTATCCTGGTCAAGAAGGTTTTTCTTCACCCTTTCACTACACAGAGGCTGCAGGTTGTCACAGCCTGAAATGCTGTGCAACCACAGAAGCTACTGAGGAGAAGATGAAAAGGTGGTATGAAAGTAGGTGGATGTGCAGGTACGGCTCTTCTGCTGCAACAGCACTTGCTAGTACTGCTCAGTGACGTTTGCTATAACCACAGGGTGCTGCATAATGGACAAAAACTTGTTAACAGGGAAGGGAGAGTTGGGTTTGGGTTCTCAGTGTTGGGGGTTGTGAGCATGTGTCTAGTGCAGACTGTTGGTTTTCCTCCTTTACTAGCCTGGTGCTGGGTACAACTTAAGCAGCTGAGGTACCAGTCCTCTTCCTTCACACGTCTTTACTGATCCAGCTCTAGTGTCTCAGTTGATATGGTGTCCCATCGATCTGTTCTGGTAAGTCTTGTTCTTCTGCTTTGCTTCCCACTGAGGTGTGAGCATGCTGTGGGCATGCACTACATCGCTGCAGCTGCCAGGCTGCAGTGCTGAGCCTGGCTGGCAGCAGGAGGGCTGCTATCCTCGACTGCATCCCTCTGTTGCACTATCAATCAGTGGGACAGAGGGTGATAAAATACACAGGCACAGGAATGCTTTCTTTTAAATGAATTTTTTTTAAGAAACTGCATACATCAGAGACAAACAATAATTTAAATACCATGCAGTTTCAGTATGTACAAAAACTAGGACATAGAGATCCAGTTTAATTTTTTTCTAGTTATTTACATCGTTTTCATACAGCCATAATCTGTTAAATTACAATACTGGAAGAGCACGATTAACAGCCACCACACTCACTCCTATACAAAGACAAACTATGTACATACACTTGGATATCAACTGGAAAATGCAACTGGTGCAGGAGTAACTGGGATACATGGGAACACAGGTAATGTGCCCATCACCTCCTCCTTGTTTACAGAAGTTGTTCCAAGCTCGAGCAGACCGAACACCTGGGAAAAATCATTTGTCCCTTTTTTTCTTTCCTGATATTTCTATTAGCCTAGTCATCTCCCATGGCTATTTATACAAAGTGATTTTATTTGCAGGCACGTTAGGGAGCCCCTCGTTCATGTGTAACTGGGTTTCCATCTCAACCATCTATTTCTATGTGTGCAAGCTTTTACTAGGTATGTTGGAATTTCTCCCCCTCTGTGGGTTTGTAGTGTTTCCACAGCACAGACAGCACCGTAGAAATAACAAAGGAAGAGTTTGGTGTTGAGTTGCAGTGATAACAGAGTGCTGTGTTTAGATGGAAGTATTAGGCTGAAATATGTTTGTGTAATAGGCTCACTAAATTGTTCCAGTTAAACAGTTAGAAGTCTATAAAATTCCATTCTCCCTTCCCTCTCCTCTTCCAGTAATGTCCACAGTGCGCATGAGGAATTGTCTAGACACAAAAGCCAGCCTGAGCCTCCCAGCAAACCTGCAGCCTGACACTTCAGCTTGCAAGTATATAACCAGAGGGTCGTGGTGCAGAGGAAGAGCTGCAACACTGACACTTTCTCCATTAGCCATAAATACATCATCAGGTCCCTCCTGGCCAGGGTGCAGGTGGGAGGGTGATGCCACCATTGTTTCCTCACCACTGCTTTTTTTCAAACAATCGAATCTTTCCTCTATACATTTTGGAGTAGCTTTTCCAATCCCCACCAAATCCCCAGCTCCCCCAGTTTCCACTACATCTTTCCACAGGCTGTAGAAGAGATGTCACAACACTTGCACATTTTAAGTACAAATAACCCATGAGGATTCAGTAGATTATAATCAAATGTTTTTCTTCCTTGACTCTAGAATATTACCTCCATTATCAGCCAGAGATTATTATCATCCAGAGATGGATGATCGGAATAGCCATTTTTATTCTGCGTTGATTTTTCCATTCTCTAAACCTGATGTAATGTCTTTATTACTGCTATTAATCTCCTCCTAATAGGAATGAGGCTGACTGGTGTTAACTGCTATGTTAACAGAATTTTAGCAGGGATGCCATCATCATCTGTATGTCCTACATGTATTTGAGGTTGAAGGTGAGGAAATCATGATTTTGTTGGTTTTGGGTTTTTTTTCTTCACCCCAACAGAACACAGCTACTTTGCTGTGATAGAGATGGCTTCCACAGAAGAGAGGACAAGTGCTCAAGAAAACAGATTTTAAATAAAGGACTAGCTTTCCCCGGTGTGCTTGTAACTTCCCATGGATGCCAGAGGTGGGTATGCAAACCCAGTGTTCAGGTTGTTGAAGAATGCCTTGCCAAAGGTTGACTTTGCAAAATACCCAGAGTCACTGAATCTAAAACCAGATGAAGTGCCAGTTCTGTGATGCTTATTACAGTGCCAAACACTTTATATGGCTTCTTTCTCCTCTCCCTTCACCTTTTCAGTAATAAGCTCTACTTCCAATTTGGGAGAAATATGGCAGTGCTTCCACTGTGTCCCGGAGTCTGCTCAGCCAGGAATTAACATAATTGAAAACAAAAGGAAAAGGCATTGCTGCAAGTAGCTGCCCTGGGGACAGCATGAATCCTGAGGCAGGTAGAGCATGACAACTCACCAAGTGGTCAGCAGGGACCTACTGTGAGCCCATCTGGATGAAGGCAGGGTGCTGGGGAATGTCTGGCCCTCAACCAGGACTTGGCTGATATGTGCCTCAACCAGTGTCCTGGGGTTTATTTAGCCTACCAGACAGGCAGGCATGGGCACTGCTGGGATCCATGCCCACAAGGGACGGGCAGGCCCCAGACTGTCCACAGACTACCCATTCCCCCGGGACTCTCTTCCACCTCTTCCTCTTCATTTTAACCACAAAAGAAAAGAAAAAAGAAAAAATTCTCACTTTTTCCTCCCACCAGCCTGCTAAGTCCTCTGATTTCTGTCACTGCTGCTCCTTGAATGGCTTTCCTTCCCCTTTCACAGGGAATGTCGAAGCTAATGATGCCAGGGCAGGTATTAGATCCATAATGGGAACATGAGGGCTTGTTGCTCTTCAAAACAGTTATATTGCAGAGCCCTTTCCTAATACAATGTATGTGTAGTCAAAAGCATAGGGTTTTGTTTTCCTTTTTGAAAGCTGTGATGCAGTCTTGTTGTGTGTACATGCGTATGTGAATGAGTTTAAAACCATGAACCCCAAGTTTTCATGAAAATTAACCCACAGCAGTGTGTTCCTGGCTGGTATGTAAGTGCTCTGTCTTTGCTGCACTGAGCTGATAACATTGCACATTAAAGACAAACTTGTATCTAAAGCAACTGTGAGCTGGTGATAGAGAAATCACTGTGTGTGTTTCTTTGGAAATCATTACCCAGTCTGGGAAGCGTATCACATCAGGCACCAGAAACCAGATAGTTTTGACTTCCTGTATAGCATCTTCCACCCTACAACATCCTACAAGCCAATTCTTAATAGCTGATAATGTACAGCATTGCAAGGATGGCCACAGATGAGAAGAGAAAGAAATGTTTTCGTTTGTCTCTCTCAATAGAGATAAATCTGCGATGTACCGAATACCATCACTAAATGTAAATGGAGTGCTTTAGCCATACTACCAGTATTTGGGCAGGGTACGTGCCAAAGCAGGCCTTTTGCTTTATTCCTACACCCAGAGGAATGAGGTGGAGACCTCAGAAGAGGCAGGACTGTTGGCACTGTGCAGCAGCATTGGCCACTGAACGCTCAGGTGCAAGAGGCTTTGCAGCCCATGATCAGTGAAGGGCAATGTTAGCACATCATCAGGGGAGGTAGGGAGGGAGCACAGAGGGTGGGTAGGTACATGGAAGACAGTAAGAAAGGGGAAAAAACCCCAAACAGAATAATTAATAGGAATACTGTAGTAAAAAACTTTGGCCTCTCTTTTCAAACTGTCAAAGCAAAATAGCTATTAGGGAAGAAAAAAAGGTGTCCTGAAGTAATCATCTGGAGCTTCTTAAAGTTGCTACAGTGCTTTGGGCCACTGACCCAAACCATGGCGTAATAGTTGCTTGTATGAGCTGGAAATGATTTCTAGACTGTTTGCCCCAGCTTGCTGGCGTTATACTAGTTAAAGACTTGATTCTGGAAGGTGCTGGCCTAAGTTCAGAAAAGCACTTGAATGTGTTCAGCTTCAGTTAAGCCTGTCAGACATGCTGTTGAATTCAGTGAGGCTGTTTGCATGCTTACTTACGTGTTAAGCATGTGTTTAAATTGGCAGGTAAACCAGGCCCAGAGTGACCCGCTCTGAGCTCCACTTGGTCAGTCTGTGTGCTAAACCACTATAATAAAAATAAATTAAAACCAAACCAGAACACTTCTGAATTGCTGTCCTTATGCCCCAGCTGTGGGTGCCAATGACAAGTCCCACCATCCACACCAATGCACCACACTCCTTTCGTTAGGCCAGGTAACACAGTCTGTCACGCTTTTCTGTGTGAGTTTAGGATCAGTTCTTGAAACACCTGATAGAGCAAGGGTAGATATTGCTCACCGAATCCTCAGCTCCTCTGGCGCATGTCCCTCTGCAGAGCCGGTGCGAATCCCAGCCTTGCTGCCAGTTGTGCGTGTCGGCTCTTACACAGTCATGAGGCTTGCATGTAAAAACAAACTACAAGCTGAGTGAATGCCATGCAGTGACTATGAAGAGATGGGCTTTGCTTGCCTGTCCTCAACATTCTCATCATTTACTGCTGATGGGTTCACAACTGGGTTTAGAAAATCAGAGATGAAAAATAAACAGTTGGTAGAACTGAACCAGCCTTCAGTAGGGTGTCCTGTACTTTACAGCTGATGCCTTTTTCTGCTTGGGAGCCGAACAATGCAGATTGACTGGCCATAAACTTCTCCTGGGAAAGAAAGCCTTTCTAGTCAGATGGTATTCACAGATGGGCTGGCCCATAGAGTAGTTTTGCTCCTTCATTGTCCCCGTAAGGTGCTTGCAGCCTGAAAGGAGTGTTTGGTTTAAGTGCTGTAATGTCATAGGTGCTCGTCTTTTGGAGACTTCACCCAGGCCAGTGCTTCCCTGAACACCATCTCAGGGCTCTCTAGAGTTGATGACAGAGGCCTGTCAGGATGAGGGGTGCCTGAAGATGAAATGGATGCACCACCAGCTGGGCTTGAACATGTATGGCAAATCCACATGCCAGGAAAGTCTTATACATAGATGCCAAGTCTTGGCACGATTCCCACCAGGGGTATTTTCTGTTACTGAAGCTTGAACCAGCAGGTCTGATGATACTGCAGTACCCATCACATGTAAATACAATTTTTCTTGTTTTAAATATTTCTTTTTCTACTTTTTTTTTTTTTTAAAGGCAGTTCAGAAGATTTACACTGTACGTAATGGGGAAATGAATAATACCAGCACTTATGGTTTCTTATAGTTATGTTTTGAAGATGGCATAGTAGTCAGGTAGAATTGAACTGCTACGGTCTATGAAACCTAAAACACAAGTGGGGAGGGAAAAAGAGAAATAGTAAGATAATATTCTCACATGCATGTCGTACATAAAGAAACCTGGAGAGCTAATTGCTACCGTGACACCATCAGGCAGCTCAATTCCTGCAGCACTGACATCAGCCATGCTGCACTGCAGACCCAGAACAGACACACACACTCTTCTTGGTTCTCGCCAGTCTGACACACAGTTCATAGGCAGATGCTCTTTGCACCAAAACTTATCAAATACAGTAATATGCTTTGGGTCTACCTGTCAGATCCCCAAGTGAGTTATTTCAGACCAGCCACTCCTCCTGCAGACCACACCATGACCGATTCCAAAAAAATTGTCTGGTTTAGACAAAACTTATGCTCCTCAGCCAGAAAGATGTACATACCGTTCATGTACAATTATTCCTTAGTGCTGCAGGCTAAAGAGGCAAGTAGGGCTGAAATGGCCATGCTTTCTGCAAGTACACCCTGTGTCAGGAGCCGTGGGTTTGTCAGCTCTGCAGAGGTTTTTTATTTAGGCTTTGATTTTTCACTCTATTATGAATTAATTAATGTGTCCCACTAGTAAAGCAACACTCACATTCTTTCCTCAGCTCATGCCACTGCTTAATGACATGAATAGCTCATTACCTTGCTAATGATTTTATAATGGTGATTTATCTAAGTTTGTTTAATGGAATTACTCTATTTTATTTAAGCGTCCTTCTTTCAAGTGTATATTTCCCAAAGCCCCTTGTCTAACCAGCAAGTCCTACTGAACTTTAGGGAAGGCCTTATTCCAATTTCTATTACATTACCTATAGCCCTGAGTATGCCTGGCTCAAACTTAGCGAGTCAAAGCCACTCAGCAGCTTTCGGACACAGCGGCACCTCAAAAGGGTCACGGCTCACCCTAACACTGTGAGAGAAGCAAATACTGACCAGAAACCTGTGAAAGCCAAGCAGCCGGAGAAACTTATGGAAAACTAAACCAATCTCTATGTTTGTGAGATGCTAAAGGCCTCATGGAAGTCAATGGAGCTGTCAGTTGTAGCTTGACTCCTTTGTAGCAACACTCCCTTCAAAACAAAAGAGCCTCATCCTTTCCAAATGTGTCATTGCTCTCTTGGAGGAGTGAGCCAAACATCCCACAAAGGTTGAGTCACTGGGGTCAACAGATTTAGGCCAACTGCACACCCTAAAGCTTCTTCCAGACTTTGTTGCTCAAAGGCAGCTGGCTTGGCTCCAGCAACACTCTGTTACTGCAAACCCTGGTGCAACCACCCTAACACATGCTAGGAAGTAGACGGAAGATCGTTTCTGCAAGGGAGTATGTGCCTTATACATGTGGTGAATTTTAATATAATTATTAATTTATGAACATGAAAATCCCCTAATACAAAATTAATTTTGCCTTAAGCTTTTCTACATTTTTCTTAACAGTACTGACTGCGTATTTCACGAGCATCTAGCTGATGAGTGTATTAATAAACGGGCAGCTCCATTTCTGCACCAGATGTGTCAGTTGTCTCCAATACCTAACATGTGTCTTTAATGTCTAACAGTGAGCAGGGGTTAAGGTTGATTTGCAAAGGCCTGGCTTCAGCTGACGTGCTAGGAGTTCAGCTCTTCTCAGCATCAAAGCCAGAGCAGGCTCAGCACAGACTGTGTGAGGGGACATGTCCTGACCTTCCAGCATGCCTCAGCCCCAGCCTGTCAGAAAGGAGGGTTATTACTTTGGGGTCATGGATAATGCATCAGCCTCTAACCTTTTAAACAAAAAACAGTCTAAAAGTGTAAAAAATAATGCCTCTCGTCATGTCAGTGTTGCTATTTCTCCGCTGCATTGCCTATAGCAGGATGTGGAGGGTGGGACTGAGTAACCTGTGTGTGGGACACACGTAGTTTGGAACAGCTGTATGCTCAGTGGGGTTTGAGTGTGTGCTCATTCATGCCTACGTGCTGGTTCTGCAGAAGTTCCCTGTCCTCCTTCAGACACCAATATCACTTACTTCTAATATCAAGAGAAAAGACACGCAGGTAGAGCACCAAGACTTAAAAAATAAAGGGAGGTTACATGTCATTAAACAGACAGCACATGGCTGCATAACGCCAAGTAATGGGGCAGCATGAGTTTGTCTGTGTGAGCTTGTTTTACAGCCTGTAATTCTGCATGTTGTCTAGACCTCATGGTGTGTTCAGTCGGCGTTGGAGAAGCAGCTGCTGTGTTTTCCTTTTGAAATCAACAGTATTCATTGATAGTCTTAAAAAATGAATCTCAGCTTACCTTGTTAGATGCCTACTTAATTCATGAACTTCCATTTCACTGCTTTTAAATTCATTAAGCTCTTTTCGAATGGCTGCCTGCAAAGGACAAATAAACTCATAAATGTATAATTGAGAGAGATCAAAATAAGTTTACTTTGTTCTCAGTATATTAGAAGTGAAGAAAACCATAAAACTTAAAAATATGAAAAGAAAGAGATATAAACATATTCTAAATCACATCAAGGGAAAAGATAAATGCTTCATTAGAACTGCTTAATTTGAGAATGTATCAGACATAATACAGATACAGAATCCAGTTCTGCTTATTGTGTAAACACTATCATGTACAAAATCTAAATCAGCGTAAGTAAAAAAAAAATGCACACCACAGTTTCTCAAACACAGTTTTGGAGCTGGACTGTGAGTAAACTGGGCCTGGATACTGCCAGGCCCATGTTTGAGATGCCTCCTGCCTTTATGCGGTCCTGAATTTCCTTGGGTGAAGTTACCTGAAGTGGCTGAGGTTACTTGGGAGGGAAAGATGGATGCCTGGCTCCCTGCCATCTGCCTCAGACTGTGCCCCTCTGACCTCCTCCTCCTCCCTTCTGCCCCAGCTGTGCCATTTATTGAGCTGATGCTACACACTGATCCAGCAGAAAACTAGCCACAGGCGGTTGTATTCAGCATCTGCAGGAGACCTGGTTACCTACAGCCTCTGTGGCTTGTCCTTGAGGGAAAAGAACACCAGGGTTGACTGGCAGGAGAGAAGTACTGAATAATAAAGTAGAGGAGGTGAGTTGGAAGGACTCAGCTTTGTGGTAGAGATGGTCCTCAGCAAAACTGGCTCAAGTCCCAAGCCTAGAGTCAAGGCTTCTGACAGCCCTGTGATACTTGTAAACCAAAAGCGAGTTTCACTGTGAGCATTTGGAGAGGATGTGCAAGGTGGCTGCTGTGGCCTAATGCTCCCCTGGGTCCAAGTGTGCTGCTGCTTTTCCCTGTGATACTGAAAACATCAGCATCAGTGGGTGCAAGTGGCACCTCCACTCTGTCAGGAATTTTCTTGATGAAGGAAATCTAAACTGGCACAAACAGCATGAGCCCAAAGCAGTGTTTTTGCAACAGCCACTGATCCAGCCACTAACTACGTTTGCCTTGACAAGCCATAAGCAATAGGTTTTGTGACTGTGACCCACTGAAAAGGCCCCTTGTGCTCTTTCTGTATACCTTTGGTTTTTTATTTACCTAAGAATGTCTGTCAGGTTCTGCTTCCATCTATCAGGACAGAGCAATGGTGGTGCAGCAACTCAGGGGCCTACCTTCAGCAGACCAATTCGCTACTTCAGTGAGGCCACATGGGCTGCTTACTCCCACAGGCTCTGACATTTATTCCCCTCTGCATCCCTTGTCTGTTGGAGAGATTTAAAGGTGCCCTTTTTTTTCCTCCCACAGTCAGACCTGGCAAAGATGAAGTCAGACTGAAGGCAATTCCTTACATCCAGCACACAGAACAAGATTTACTGACAAACACAGAAGTCCATTACTAATATCTGTTTTTCAGTAAACCTCACCTGTGCTGACCAATAAAGACAGTTATTGAATCAAAGCTCTGGAAGAAAATAATCTTAAAAGATTATTAGGATGTTGCGACTTTGTCAGGCATTGTGGAGTCGATTCCAATTTGTCTGGCTATTTTTTCCAGCAGTGGATACAGCAGTGGGGAAAAGCAGGTCATCTGAATGGCAGAAATCAGAACACTGGCCACAGGACCCAAAGCCAAAAGAGAAATACCTGCTTCCTTATGCCATGAGGGGCATTAATATTAGAGTGACAAACAATTCTTCTTCTGCATTGCTGAGGAAAGATTCATTTGGAGAACTCAGGCCCTTTGGTTGGGGTACTGACTTTCCACCTGCATTATGAAAAAGTGAGCTCAAAGTGCCTTAATGCTGAATTCTTTACCAGGCTATATTTAATAGTGGTATTTAATACTTGTTCTTTTCACAGACACAGGGTGAGGAAGGACCTCTCTGGACACCAATCTTCCCCCTTCCCAGCTGAAGTTTCTCCATGCCTTTCATCCCAGACAGGGATCTCTCAAAGGCTGCAGAACCAATTGGAGATAGAATCCCTCCCGCATATACCAACTGGGAGAATAAAACTAAGTTGGTCGTATAAGATCTTATCCAACATGGTGAGCTAAAATGGGAAAAGCTAATTCAACCCAGTATGTTATGGTCTGTGGGCCATCCAGAGGACATTTTTCTGATTTTCAGATCAGTTTATGCTGATATCCAGAACTAAACTGAAAAAAACCCTGTCAAGGAGTAAATCAGTGCTCATGAAACTATACAAGTCCTTTGGTTAAATTATACAAGTGTAATAGGCTGCCCTTTCCTCTGTGAACAAAACCAACAGCACCATAAATGAGTGGCATGGCCAGAAACCCTGCTCCTGTCTCTAAACATCTGACATCATGGTTTCCATTGCTGCACGAGTACCACAGCAAGGACATAGACAAGGCTTGAATTTAGGTACCTGAAAGTCTTTAAAATTACATGGGCATCATAGCGTGACTGTAAGCTTTGGAATCACTGATCAGCCTCATAGTCCTCTTTTCTTACGGTGGCCATAAAACATTTAAATCTTCCTGAGGCAACACTGAGACCCTCAAAATGTGACTTGATATAATCTGCCAGCCATTTAACCCCTCTGTCACCAATGCCACAAGTATCTCTGACACCAGAGACACCACTTACAAAAGTCCCACTAGTGCTCAGAGGACAGTGCTCTCAGTACCAAACACGAGTCTTTCCTTTGTCTGCAGGGCTCATGCAATTTCACTTCAGTGCTTAAAATACTCTGTTAGAAATCCTGATTAAAGGCCCCTGCTGTAACACACTACAGAGAAGTTACCTGGCTTCAGTGGGATGGAGCATTTTTGCACCCAGGCCTCTTCTGTCCTGACACAGCAATTCTGGCAACACCAAAACCAACAACAACATAATACGGCTGCCATTAAGACCCTTCCTCAAAGGCCTTGATATGCTTTTGCCTGTGTTTAAAAGGTGTAATGCTGTTAACCTTGCTCCTAGTTCCCATGCATAAAGAAGCCTTCTTGCCAAAGATTTATGACTCAAACAACAAACCTTAAGAATGAGAAGAAACCGGAGGTGTGTGGGGAAGGGATGTCAGGCGCAAGTTTATTCCTTGATGGCTATGAGACCTGTGGGACCCACGGGATGCTGTTTGCTGTGACATGCTCTAGCTATTCAGATCATGGCTCTCTCAGAGTTGCTCCACTTACTTTGTCGGCGGCTGTGAGTCGTGTCCAGGGTTTGTCTGCCCTCCTGTCATAGTCCTGTGCATCTGCCACTTCCACGTAGTCACTGAAGCGGATAAGGATCTTCCTCTCACGTAGCTCTTCTACCGTGGGCCTTTGACTCAGCTGCGGGGTTGAGGAAGGAGTGGAAAAAGACATCAGGACATCACTTTTTCCCTGTAGAGTGCTGCCTGGGGATTTGTTTTACTACAACCACCACTATGGGGGTCCAGACATTCCCAGCACCATTCTTTCTGTCAGCCTTTCACAGAATTGCTACATGGGAGATAACCTCTTGTTATAGCACCTTGAACATCATCCCACCTTGCTGCTGGAGCAGCTCACCATTTGGGAAGTGGCTATGGATGGACACCCTAATCCCGGGTTGAAGTTGATCCCACAGCCAGAAATGAGAAGTAACACAGGGAAGTCTCTGAGTGCAGCAATGTCTCGGGAAGAGACAAAGACCACAAGACAACTTTAAAACCACCTGCGTAGGCTGTATGCTCCCCAGCCTCGAGCTGCTGTGTGTGTTCTGTGCTGCCTGGGAAGGGTCAGGCAAAGGCACCAGGATGCTCCTGCCCTGAATTATGTGCAAAAGGTGACAAACTACTTTCCTTACCATTCCAATATTCTCCAGACTTGTCCTTACCTCCCGAAAAGGTAGGCAGGATGATGAGTAGTGCTTATTGAACTTGTCACTGTTCTGCAGCTCCATTTTGTGTCACAGTGTATTTGACTTCTAACAGTTTACACTGCATACTACAAGCCAAAAAAAAAACCCCAAAACAATCGCAAGGGTGGATGGTATCATGCAAAGAAAGCATCTTCATTGTTCCAAAGCATTTCTGTCAAATTCCACAGAAGAGGCAACCACGGTCAAAACTCTCCTCTCAAATGAGAAACAGTAGTGTGCTGGTAGTCCACCTATTATACAGTCAGTTAACCTGGCTAGGGACAGGAATTGGCTTTCAGGGATCGATTCTCCTTGGATGCACAGCATGCTGGTTAATGTCAAAAACAATTACACAACTAGTTCTGAAGAAGGTGCTATACATACGTGTGCACATGGCTGTACATTAGCTGCAAAAGTCTCACTACTGGAATGAAACATCAGACATTAGGGAAAATAATATCCTGCTAAAACTTAGCTACACAGTGTATCATACTACTCCCACTCACTAGGAATAGGTGTGTGTTACAATAATTCACCTTTGTTAATAATGGAAGGTCTAAATATTTCATAAAATGCTTGACTCTATTCTGTAAAGTTATTTAGGCTCCTGAATCCACCTTCCTCCAAAATTAAGTATCTCAGTTCCCTGCATTTCATCTTCCAGGGAGAATTAAAAATGCAAACCAGCTAAGATGCTAAGTGGAGGGTGAAAAATACCACCATTCTCCAGCATTTGGGTGTTGATGCAAGATAGCCGCACCACCCCATCCTGCCTCTAGCTTTAAATACCTGTGTGCTTGTTCTTGGCATGCGTGGTTGCCTCTTTCTTCTATTTTTAGGAAAGATGGTTGTGATGGGAGGTGACAGTGGGACTGCCCTCCTTACACTGATAACCCTGAGCTCACAAACTGGATTCAAGCACATCATCCAGAGTGTCTGCAGAGGGGCACTAATGCCCTGCCTGTAAGATGCTCAGGAGGACAGAAATGAGGTTCTATCCGTCCTGGCTGCAGCACAGCCATTTTGTACACACCAAAGGCAGAGAAACCACAGAAAGGAAGTGTAACCAGGAGCACAGCTCTACACTCCACCACATAATGCCCTTGCCTAGGACAGCTGTCATCAGTCAAGTCACAGCTCAGCAGTTTGTGTATGATCTCCAGACCCATTTTATGGTCAATTATGGCTTTTAATAGGGGAAAAGCTCCTTGCTCCTTTGAAAAAGAACAACTTCAAAACTTCTGAATATTACAAAGATCTTAACAATAGGCAGTTTTCTCACACCCACCTTCTATGGGAGGCATGAAATTTCCTGGAGGGAACTGCTCTGCGTGTGGTTGTCACACAACATTCACAGTATCACAGTATCACAGTATGTTAGAGATTGGAAGGGACCTCAAAAGATCATCTAGTCCAATCCCCCTGCCGGAGCAGGAACACCTAGATAAGGTTACACAGGAACGTGTCCAGGCGGGTTTTGAATGTCTCCAGAGAAGGAGACTCCACAACCTCCCTGGGCAGCCTGTTCCAGTGTTCCGTCACCCTCACTGAGAAGAAGTTTCTTCTCAAGTTTAAGTGGAACCTCTTGTGCTCCAGTTTGTACCCATTGCCCCTCGTCCTTTCATTGTTTGCCACTGAGAAGAGCCTGGCTCCATCCTCGTGACACTCCCCCTTTATATATTTATATACACTAATAAGGTCACCCCTCAATCTCCTCTTCTCCAAACTATAGAGACCCAGCTCCCTCAGTCTTTCCTCATAAGGGAGATGCTCCACTCCCTTAATCATCTTAGTTGCCCTGCGCTGGACTCTCTCCAGCAGGTCCCTGTCCTTCTTAAACTGAGGGGCCCAGAACTGGACACAATATTCCAGATGAGGTCTCACCAGGGCAGAGTAGAGGGGAAGGAGGACCTCTCTCGACCTACTAACCACCCCCCTTCTAATACACCCCAGGATGCCATTGGCCTTCTTGGCCACAAGGGCACAGTGTCGGCTCATGGTCACCCTGTCGTCCACCAGGACCCCCAGGTCCCTCTCCCCTACACTGCTCTCTAACAGGTCGTTCCCCAGCCTATACTGGAACCTGGGGTTGTTCCTGCCCAGATGCAGGACTCTACACTTTCCCTTGTTATATTTCATCAAGTTATTCCCTGCCCAACCCTCCAGCCTGTCCAGGTCTCTCTGGATGGCAGCACAGCCTTCTGGCGTGTCGGCCACCCCTCCCAGCTTAGTGTCATCAGCAAACTTGCTGATAGTACACTCAATTCCCTCATCTAAATCGTTGATGAATATATTAAATAATACTGGTCCCAGTACCGACCCTTGAGGCACTCCACTAGATACAGGCCTCCAACTAGACTCCGCCCCATAGACTACAACTCTCTGGCTTCTCTCCTTCAGCCAGTTCACAGTCCACCTCACTACCCGATCATCCAGACCACACTTCCTCAATTTAGCTGCAAGGATGCTGTGGGAGACTGTGTCAAATGCTTCCTCTTTCTTCCCAGTGCTTCCCAAGAAAACCCCCATTTTGTATACCCACATTCAGGCCAGCCATGCTAAGGTCAGCCCATGAGGTTAGCAAGAAGCACGCCTTTCTGAACTCAGACTACACCAAGTTTTGCTTTCCAAAAAGCAAAACGCATACACAGCAGGCACAACTTTTTTGGCCGTTTTCAGACAACAGGGTTATCTCTGAGCTGGAGTACCCTGTCAGAAAATCCAGGGGGCACAATAAAGTAGACTGAAGCACGTTTAGATTTAAAACTGTTACTTTTTGTTCTAATGGAACAAAATTGTCTCTTCAGCCTGCAGCCCTGACACCTACACCTAAGCCACCTGCAAGCCAAACGCACACTGCAGTCAACAGAGGGGCTTTTAACAAAAGCAAGAAAACTGAAGTGCTATCCCACACTTGGAGTATAATCCCAGTTACACTATCAGTGAGGCTTCTCTGTCCTCACCCCATCTTGAATGTGATTCCAAATTGGTATGGTTTTCTAGTAGCCGTAGTACTAGGAGCTGCAGGTTTGTTAGCACTGATACTGTTACTATTCAGGGAGCATAGCAGAGTTTTGCTTCTGATTATTTAAAACGTAACCCCTGACTATGGAAACAGAGAATTTTCATGCTGAAATAATATGGCTATACTCCAAAATTTCAAAGATAAGGGTGAGACTCCATCTTTACTTGCCTCTACTGCTTCTTTTCACACAACAGCATGAATTAAGGATGAATCACCAACCTTATCTCCACATTTCTCAGCTTTTAACATTTCAGGACATAGCCTAGATGTTGTGTCATCTTCGAATGGATTTTTTTTCTTCTAAATAAAATGCCTTACTACACTGATGACACCAACAGAATATGAAATGCTGTGAATTAAACTCTGTTTTCCTAAATGGCTACAAGGAAACAGGGAACTGCTACAAGCTTCTCAAGATGGAAGAGGGCTTTAAAAGACAACCAGCTCCATTTCACAGCTTCTGTCAGCTCTTGACATTAGCCAGCTTTCACATTTGTGCTAATCAAAGCAATTAGCAAGTCTGTACAAAGGAGAAGGCGGGTGGCTGTGGATACAGTGCCAGGCTGTTGGCTATAGGCAGTGTCAATAAGGCAAAAGCATCAAATGTCACAGCAGTGGTGGTGCTTCTGCTGGCAACGTGAATTCATTGCTGGTATTTACCTCAATGCTGCATAGGGTCTTAAACAGCTAATCTGGCTTGCTTGGTGTTCTGGGTATATGTTGAAATCAAATGACGGTAAATATTGAGTCACATAAGTAAATTCTCATGTTTGCAAATGCACAAATGTCAAATCAGGTGCATCACCTGCACATTTCACATCACTGAAACCCTTGGGTGGGTGTGAAGAACACTGCACTGATTTACACATGAAAAATGTCAAGGGCATAAGCACATTATGAAACTTGGGTGCTAATGCACATTTTTCAATCTTCGGTGACACCTGAAAGCAAGACAGAGTAAAAGCTGCTGCTTCTTTTCCTCTGAAGTCATACAACTATTACTGTACATTGTCCTGCCTTTGCTTCAGAAACCTGCAGTCAGAGCAATTTCAGATACTTGTACACCCCATCACAGTGGTGGGCAGCATTCCCCTGGCCACAGAGCAGTTGCAGCAAGTGAAACACAGAGACCAACCAACCAGCTCAGGGTGACCCAGGAGGCCTGGGGCAGAGCTGTGAACAGAAAAGAGATGCACTGACAGTCATGCCAGCACTCTGGCTGTGAGAGAGTCCTCAAATCCACAGCTTATACCACAGAGTTCATGTGTAGCCATAAATTTACACATATTTACATATATAAACACACAAAAACATATTCAGTACATCAAAAAGTCAACTTGATCATATTAAATGTAAAGAGAGGGACAACCACACCCCATGTTTTTCTAAAAACCATTAATTAAAGCTACAGTAATTGAACAGTTAACAAACTGCTCTCACTCTCTCTCATGCCACTGCAAGTGTTTCTTGTGAGCTGCTAAGCATGAGGGTGTCTCAGTATGTTTGGGCTACCCAGAGTTTAATTCTTCAATAGGTGGGGAAACAGACCTGCAGAACAGACTCAAAGCGGCTCCCCTGTAGGTGTCAGTTCAGTGTCTGTTCGTGTTGAAGGTACATCTCACCTGAGATCTCACCTTGGAGTTCATTTTTATGACATGTGAGCTGCAGTCTCTTAGGTCAAAATTGCTTAATACTACACAGTCCTTCTTGTTCAACACCTGACAATGAGCACTGCTGCTTCTAAGAGGCAGAAGGAACTGGGCACATTTGTAACTTACAGTAAAAGGACATGGTCAAGGACATGATACAACTGCTTTCAACAGGCAGTGGTGCTCCAAGTGGAGAGAAGGGTCTCACTTAACTGTGTGGTGAGTGACCTCATTATTTGAGTGTGAACCAGGGCAAAAATACCTTTTGAAGTAAATGGATTTGTACTAATGCAAAAGCAGTGTAAAATAAAGGAGGACAGGACCTCCCATATCTTGTCACTGGAGGTCAAGTTTTCCTCTGTATAGTCTGGATCACTGGAGATAGAAACGGGCATATTTCAGGCTTTAATACCAAGCCAATTTGCAAGGGAAGGTTTAAGACAAACCCCTTTGTTCTTGGCATGGGAAATGAAGCAAACCCAAGCACCGCCACCAGGTAAAGTGGAAGGGGATGTACTCTTGCCAGTCTGGTCTTGGGATTTAGTCAAATGCAAAATGCAGTTTGCTGCACTTGTCACTTCATTATTGCCTATTTTGTTACCTTGCTAAAATGTTATGGTTGTTATTTAAGGAAGAAACCAAGGTGAAAAACTACAGATCCTAACTAGCAGTGCACACAACCCCTCTTCTTTGTTCCTCACCTTTTGTGGTGAGATGCAGGAGCAGGACATGACGAAAATGCCTCGAAGACCTTTCCCTCTGACTATAATTGCAGTTTATCCAAATTAACCCCCACCCTCTTTTCTTCTCTGCCTTTTCCCCCTTCCCTGCTTCCCTCTGATGAATCCCATCTCTCTCAAGAGTTCATTATTTTGAACAGCCCATGCTGATGCAAGCCAGCAGAGGTCAGTTAAAAAAAAGATTGAACTGCAAGACATTTCCCAGTGAGGCATCAGTGAACAGAATGTTTCAGTTGTACCAGGGCAGGAATTCAATGGGAGCAAAGATTTCAGATTATTGTATGGATTTGAAGAAGCAGCCACACCTCATCATTTTTGTTGTTGATGTGACAGCTGCTAGAAGATTTTTAGCTTTGGAGCTAGACCTCTGGGAAATACTAGCTATTGACAGTGGGGGATAAGAGGCTATAAACAGCTCTGAGGAATGGGGAGCACAATGCTACCAGAGAGAAAAGAAAGTAGGAAGAGTTTTATTCCTCTTTGCATGTGATTTGTAACATGTTCTGTTAATCCAGGCTGCAACTCTCTCTCTAATGGAAGGCCTCAGAAAGAGTTCAGGCTTGTGTTAATTGCCATAGTGCTTGGAGAAATTAACCGCTTTTCAGAGTGGATACCTTTTTAGTAGTAATTCCTGCGTGTCCAGATCTCCTCATGGAAGGAACCCACCTGCAACACTACTCCCAGAGGGCTTTTGCACATTAATGTTCCCAGAATAGGCTTGTGGGCCAAGAGCAGTGCTCAGAGAAAAAATGTCCACATGTCCCTCCACTCAAATGATGCAAATCCAATGTGCCTGAAGTTGCTCAGTGTGCTCCAAGGGCCAGGGAGAAGGAGCACAGCAGTAGCTGGATATACAGAATATATCCATGGGCATCTCAGGTGACAGGCAAGTACCCTTCACCTTTCCTTGGACAGGAGGGACATGAGCTATGGAGAAACTGCACTGAACAGCATTCGCCTCCATTTTGTTCTTTGAATGGCAGCTAATCCCTATGCCCAGTTAATTTGGAGTTAGATGAGTCTGAGAGGATGAAAAGTGTTTAAAGGGGCAGCTCGCTATAGGTCACCTGATCTAAATTTTCTTTTAGAAATTGCCTGTCCAGATGATGGATTCAACTGGATATTTATTGCTGACTTTATAAGGTGTCTAGACCTAGCAAGGTAATCTTACTTATTACAGCACGTCATAGTACAACTTATCATCATAATACTGTAACAAAATGTCAGTACTAAAGGAATTTTAAGAACAGCTTTTTAATGGATGAAGTGGGTTGTTCCCTTGGAGTTGGAATGACACCACTGAAAAAAAACAGGGACAGTAGCAGCTATTCTAGTGCAAGGTCAAAAGTCTTGTCACCAGCTTCTGAAGAACCCCCTTCCCTTCTTACTACCAACTACACATGGTTGCAAGGAAGCAATGTGGCATATTTTCCTTATGTTGAATTTACCCCAGGGGCATGTGTGTGCATTAAAACACAGTGCAGTGCAAACAGAAAGGGCTGCTGGGCAAAACCACTTGCCGTGCTCAATTAAACTTCTGCTCAATCTGAGGTTTAAAATCCTTTGGTAATAAGACTTCAGTACAAATCAACAGAAGGAGTCTGCCACTCTGCTGCAGACACAATGACACATCTGGGATATGCTCATGAAAGACAGAACTGGGAAATAACAACTATTTTTGCAGGAATCACTAGGTGGTTGGCATTTCTAGTTGTTATCTATCCACTTACACACTTTATGCGCTCCTTGCCTCTAGTGATTTCTGAGCTTTTATGGCAGTATGTTTGGTAGGTGAGAACAAAATCTGTTGTTAGACCAGGCCTGTGGTTCTTTTTAATGAAAATTACATGTGTCACTAAGTCAATTTACAACAGTTTAAAAAGACTATCAAAATCAAACAATGCCAAGTCGTGCTGCTACCAACCTCACAAACATGAGGGACAAAAATCTTTACTGGGGAAGAAGCCACAAAAAGGCTAAAAGGAATGTTACTGGGAACAGGGGTATGAACATTAAAGAGCCAGCTGCCAGGGGCTCAGACTGCTGCTGCTGTCACTGCTGTTCCTACTTAGAAGTGCAAATAAGACAAAGAAATCTCGCAGAAGACTGCTGAGGTTTCACTGTTGTGATGTTACAGCAGCCTGGATGTGTTAATTGAGCATGTGGCTGTGGCCTCTGCCTGCAACAGATAATTCATGTGCTTCGTACCTTTCCTACAAAATAGCAGAAGACGGGAACTGCATGTCAATAATGCTGGTGGAGTTAGCAAGCCCTCATTTTTTTAGGCAGCAGATTGGGTATGAGTAGCTTTGCTTTTTATCTGTTACAGACGTTCATCAAATGGCATCAATCTTTGGACTGGATTCCCGTACGTCTCCACCTGTCAATGTACAGGGACACTGAAAGCCTGGTAAGATGGTATTTCTAGCCTTTCTGCACAGCCTGAGTCCCATGAAATATTTGCAGTGCAGGTTCTTTCAGACAGTGCTATGAGAGAATGTGAGACAATCACTGCCATTGTTGCAAGGAATTTAAGTGTTATAAAAATAATATTACAGCTCTCTGGGTTGCATTCTTAGCTCCTGCAGACAACAGCAGTATTCTCCCATTGATGAGCAAGAGCTCTGCTCATTTACGTGAGCTGAGAATAAGGCATGAGATTTTCAACCATAAAAAAAAAGCAATTCAGCTCTCTGAATGTATCCTTTCCATGTATATTTAGAGCCCTTTCCTTGTCATTATTTACACTGTGAAAATTTGTGACCACATAGGTCAAAAAAGACTAAGTCACCTAAAAAATGTACAGGAAGGGATTGGCACTGCTTCACAAGCATGTGAGTTCTTAAGGGGGCTTTCTCCATCTTTGGAGACAGGAAATATGCCAGTGGTGAAATAAAATTTATCCAAAGTAAAAGGATGCATTATTGGCTATATATGTTGGGGCATCTGCAGACATTTACACTAGCTGGGAAACTGAATATGCATATCTGAAATGACTTTTCTTTAGTTTTAAGAGTAAATGACTTTCAAATGGGAGGAAAATCAAAACCAAACTATGCTTTTTTGTTCGTCCTTCCCTGCCAATACAAGATTGTTTTCTGCACTATACACCATTTGTGAGTGCTTGTCTCTATTTAGTTTAAATGCCTCAAGTGACAATCTCCCTTTTCAGAAAAGGTTTATTTCCCAGTTTTATGCCTTTTTTTAGATGTAATTCTTGAATGCAATCAGCATTGTTTTAACTTTGCTTTCTTCATAATGGCTGCAGAAGCCATTACATTTACAGGAAGCAGGGTTGGACCAGTGCTAGGCTCTCTATCCTTTGCTGTTCAAAGCTCCTTCAGTTATGACTTTTGTCTTCTTTCAAGATGTTACCAGCAATAGCTTGCAAAGTGGCTCACTTCACTCTGTGGATTTACAGCTTGTAACATTGGTGACTTATTTTAAAGACTGCTTTAAAGACTTGTTTCACACTGTACTTTTGAAAATGGTGCTGACGAAAAGGAAAAAGGCAAACAACTGCAGTTACAGGGAGAAAGTTACAGTAGTGTCATAATAGGATCAAAGTTGTTTCTCACCTTACGTGTTAACCTTCGCTTTATCTCTCGTTTTTCCTCCTGCTCCTCTTGCTCATTCCGGGCTGTAAAAGATTTACAAGGATCTCAGGCTGTGGACTCATCAGGCATGCACAGTATGCAACAAAATAAGCCTCTCCATCAGTATATTAATGTTTCAGGACCTCTCTGATGCACAGTGGGTCCCTCTATGGCTGGTGTACTTCCTCAGTCCTTAGCTACTGCACTTCTTCACACACTTCATCAAACATCTACAGCCTCCTTCCTTTCCCTGTGTTGGCACCTCTTCATGTGCGTCACTCTCTAGAAGGGCCAGGCAGCAAGCCAGCTCTTCAGAAACTGTCTCGCAGCTCACAGGCCCAGTGGCCTCAGAGGATTGAGCTATGATACGGTTGGATTCTGTAAGGATGCAAGGCCAATGGTTGGAAGAGAAACATACTTTTTTTCCCATTTACAGAATGATTTCTTGCAGCCCCTCTTTGAAGAGAATGGAAAAAAAACATCAGAATAGGGGTGCCAGGCAAAATCTGCAACTTTCCATGACCTGAGCAGCGCAGGGAGAGAGTGTCCTTCATGAGCCTTCACAACACACTGGAGTGTAAAAGCACATCCTCGGGCAATTCACTTCCAACATGAAGCCAAAAGATCATGTTACAAGTTCACGCCAGGGCAAGTCTCAAACATTATCCCTCAAGAAGACAATAACATTTGAGTATACTAACTCTTCTTCAACTTAGGGGCAGGCTGTCATGCATGTCTTTGTATTGAACGTCTCTGAAACTCTCTAAGAGCCCAGGTTTTTAGATACTCATCTCCTCAACCAGGATCTTTTTCCACTGCTTTGTTGACAGCTGAACTGCTCCTTACTCCAATCATGCCTGTGTGTAACACAACTCATCAGCTTTTCCAACAAGTACCCTTACCCCTGGTGTGATCTGTTTTTCACTCAGATAGGAGTAGCTCAGACAGGAATAACTCTCTGCAGGGGACATTAAGGACTTCAAAGGGCAGTTTGGAATATGTGGCTTGATTTAAATTGTCCAACTTTGGACTGAATTAAACCCAAGGGGGGAATCCCATGTTCCTGTCTACTGATCCTGCAGAAGTAGTCACCTCTGGCACAGTGGCAGTAACAAACCACCAGCATTGACTTCTTCAGCCATGAGAGCACAGGTCACCACTCCCACCAACCACTTAGGACCAGCCAAAAATAACATAAGGAAGCCCTAACCCAGTCTGCACACAGTGAAGGAGATGCAATTTTTCAAAACTGGGGCTTTCCCTAAATGGAAACAAGACCTGATGTTCAGAGACCACAAAAGGCTCTGAGCAGGGGAGCAGGGCTAGGCTGGAAGCCAGGTTTCTAATGCTCAGAGCAAGAGAGCTGAGAGAACTATCACAACTGCTCACTGACTCCACAGGGCTGGGAAATCGCCACCAAAGAGGACAAACAGCCAGTCAATGTTATGATATTTTACGATATGCTGCTGATCTTTAAATGCCACTTTAACGAAAATACCGCTTCTATTTTCAGGAGGAAGGAAACTGATCCTGGAGTAAAAAGAACACAGCATGGAGTCACAAATGGCTTTTAAAATGGTACCTGAAATACACTCACTGATAAATATGTTTTTCCTCTTTCAACAGTTCCTGTCCCTACTGGGATGGATTCCTTTCTAGCAATTGCTCCTCTAGCAATTTTGTTCTTCCCTTTGTGTTTCAAATTTGGAGGAGCTTGTTCTGCAAATGCCTACTTTCAGAAATAGAGCCACTAATAAATCCTTGTAAGATTAAGCCAGAGGGACACAGAGCTAAGCAGAGCCCACACAGAGTCAGGGTACAACTGCAAGCACCCAAGGGGTTATGCATAATACTTACTTATGGCCATTCACTTTTGTACTTGGTGTAAGATGTCTTTCTTTTCTCCTCCTCACCCCTCAGCCCAGCAATCCACCTTCAGAGAAGCCAGGCAGGCTGAAGGCCTCAGTCATGTAAAAGCTGGGAATTAGGAACACATTTTCCTCCAAAACCAGACAGTGACTTTGTTTTAGCTTTTTTTTTTTTTTCTTTTTTTAAGTTAATTAAGTCACGTCCATCTTCTGAAGCTACTGTTGCTTTATTTTATGTGCTCAGGAGATGCTGTGGGTGGGTGTGATTTTCAGGCCTGATTTCTGTGCTGGTGTGAAATGTCCCCCAGTACAACCTGAGACCCTCAGAGCCTACCTAACCATCATTTTTTGTGAGGAACTGATGCAATGGATGTGCCAAGCTGACAACTGAACTACTTGTATCCATCAGAGAAGTGCCATGGTGGATGGGGCATGAGGGGGACTGAGAAATCCTTCCTCATAAACTTGGCCAGCATCTATTAACTTCAAAAAGAGTTCTTCAGTCTTCACACTAACTCTGCAGGTCTGGACTCCACTCACTACATTACTTTGACTTAAATAAGAGCCAGAGAATTGGTCATACTTCAGTGAAGGACCCTTCAAGCACCAGTGTCCCTGTTCTCTATTTCTTTGCTGTGCCTACTGTAATCTTACTGTTGCTACCAGCAAGTAGTAGAACTTGTACAATGGATGCTTCGCTTTTGTAATTCAATAAAGATGACCATCTCATACTTGTTGTAGCAGCATGGAGATAGGAAGCAATCACTTCATGTATAAAAATTGGCTGTCCCACCACATTTTGCCTATTTCTTCCCAGCAGAATGAGCAGTAATGCAGTTACATATGGTACCAGACATGACATTTACATCAAGGAGATTTCAGCTTTAACTGCAAAGGAAATCCTATGTAGTCTACTTGGGAACTTGCTGGGCTTTCTTTTGTGCCTCTGTGTTTCTCCTCTCTGAACTGGGCTTCTGGCAAATTGCTCAACCTGCTTATGCAGAGAATTTACACTCATTATCAGTGCCTGTGTGTCTTTCTCTAGGCTCCACTGTATTTATTATAATTCTCCTTCTCAGAAGACTAGGGAAATGACACAAAGTGATGTACAAACCAGACACTATTTATATTTACTTGTTTAAGGGTGGAGCATTTTTATGCTTTCTTATTTTTTAAATTATGTAACTATTCTAATTTTTTGTTCCTTTCCTGCTGTGTTTCACCAAAGCTGGGATGCCTTGGAAATCCCACATTACTTTTTCCTGTAATTATGAAGCTGTTTGTCTACAAAGACACACATGTTTTGGGGCAGATCTGTTCTTAGGAACCAAGCTATAAAAAACCCATTTAGAAAACACAATATTGTTCTGGATTCAGGGTAAAATTTTCAAACACATCCATGTCATTTAAGAGCCTTTATTCAATTCAAAAGGAAACTAATGTGACTAAGGGGACAATTCGCCTGAAATGTAAGAGATCTTCAGATTGCTATGTGACTGCTGTGATCAGCAAAGTGACCTTTAGGAATTACTGCAAGAAACCCAGCACTGGAGATGCTGCCTCTCTGATGATGTTGGTTCAAACCCTGCTGCCAAAGCAGCTGCCCAAGACCTCCACTTCCCCGCCAGCCAGCCTCACCAGTGCCAGGCTGGTGTTTACTGGTCACGCACCAGTGCCAGGTGGTGCATGACACATGTTTATTCCTAAGTCCCGAGATGACCACATAAGCTGCCCAGAGAATTGGACTCTGTCCCTCCTTGCCTGAGCCTGGCACCAGTCACGTTGCAGGTTTTTCCTCCTCCAGCTGTTCTGCTACCCCCTTGTGAGGCAATCACATCTGGATGTGCCACCTATATCCTCAGGTTCTGCCCCTGACTCCCTTCAGAAGCCAGTCACAGGAGTTAGGAGTAGGCAGTATGAGCATCACTACCAAAATGGGGCTGGCCCCAGACAAATGGCTTTTCTGGAAGCCTCGGGCTTGCCCACACTGCTCTGCTGTCCAGTCTTTTCTCCTCTTTGCACTGACAGTGGTGTCTCTTTCTTTGTCTGATGTGTAATAACATGAGCAGATAAAAAGATCCCACGGACTATTAACATGATTGTTTACTTGCTAGGAATCTGATTTTGAAGTATTTAATCAATCAGTTCTGCCAATTTTCAGCAAATTACCACGTTTTTATGATTCTGTACAATGCAGTTATTTGAACAACAGGAGAAGCTAAATTCTCCTACCTAAGGAGATATTATGTATAAGGTACCAGTTAGAAGTACATTTTCCTGTAGTAGTTTTTAAAAATTTCCCTGGAATGATGCATTTGCTAACTAAAGAAGGGAAGAACTTGTTTATCTTGTTTTCTGTAAGTAACAACAGTGAGATAAACAGCTTTCCTTTAATATCCAAACCACTTCAATGTGAGTACAGAAACTGCAATTTTTTTCCTGTTCTTTCATAAGATTGCAAGATTTGTGCTGGACTCAGTTGTGCTTCCCTTGAAGCTGGTGGCAATGTGTCCAGTAACTTAACCCAGGTCAGGGTCTCTAAATGGTATTTGCCCCTTTAAAGTATCATACGTTAAGGATCTACCAGCAAATTTTGGGCTGATTTAAAGGAAGAGTTTCAGCTGAACATTTCAGGGAAATAATTCCAAGTCACACTGGTTTCCTTCTTCAATTGAATAAAGGCTCCATCTAGTCTAGATGCTGTAAGGATTTTTAGGAAAACTAATCAAGCCATGCCCTAATGTCTTTACTAACTTATAAGAGGATGTTAATCTGTGTAAGAACTGCATAAAAGCTTTTCAGAATGACCAACTCTCTGTTTGGAACAGGACTTGCAAAAGAGATTTAAAGTCTGGGTTTTTTTTCCCCATAGACAGTTCATTCTTGTGAATTTACTGACTCTGATTTTAAATAGCAGCTCTGGATGTTGTTATAGACTTGCATACTTATTTGCATTTATGATGCACTTCTTTATTATTAATAATTCATGTACAGAATAGTTGATGTTCTATAAAAAACACCCAACATACATCTAAACTAACCCAAACTAGCTTCAGGTTAAATGTCAGAGATACCAGGACTTACGTTTCAGTATGTTCCTCTGCTCCAATTCTTCAGCAGTTGGCCTCTGGCTCAGTCGTCTGCGAAAAAAGTCCAAGATCAGTTTTTGGACCATATCACATTCTCCTCAGTTGTCTTGAAAAGTTATTTTGGGGTGTGAGAGGCAGAGCAAAAAGCACTGACACTGCTCCATTATGTACTTGGTACGCCTGGACCATGCGTGACACAGACCATGCTTCGCTTTCGCAGTTTCCTCTGTTTTCAGCTCACGAAAGACAAAATAAGTTATGTCATCTTAGGCATGACTCTCCCACCCCTACCCCAGGCAGAGCTGCTGAAAGCTAAGCTACACAGATGTCTCCACTTAAGTTCCTTCCTCCCATGCTTGCTTCCTGACTCGTGCAAGTATTTCTATCTAAGACCGTGCTAACCCTCTCGCTGCCCTCTTGCCAGCCTCCTGACTATGCCCTGTTTGTTCAAACAGCATTTGGACACACAGGCCACAGAAAAAACAAGGGATGGTTTGGCAGCGCTGACGATAGAACAATAGCAGCTGCCCTCCTCCTCCTCCACACCCTCACTGCCCTCCTCCTCTTGTGGCTTTTACTAAATCTTACATTGAAGGATCAGCATGACTTCCAGTCAACCTGTACATAATAGGGTCACAAACCTCATAATCTAATTACAAGTGGGGACCCAAGCATAAAAATGATTTGAATATTCAGAATACAAAGCAGGGGAGAGAAGCACAAAGGGGTCTTTGGAAAACAAAGTAAACCAAGGAGATGACATCAGAAGTCAGCACTGTTTGGCCTCCTCATACTCTCCTCTGAGTCAATAGGAGTTTTGTCAATGATGCCAATGACAGGACAGAGCCTCCTCTTCCATCAGACGTTGTAATTCAGAGATGTTCCCTACTTGGGGGCCCCAGTCTCTGCCAGCTGAAAGGGGCAACACACCTATTTCAGGGGAGAATGTGGAATCACTAGCTTTTCTCTTTCCCATGGCAGATTGAACATTTATCTCATTGGAGAACTGTTAAGAAGGACAGGAACTTATTCTTAATTCAGAAGAAAAGAATGTCTGCAAAGTACTTTGGAAAGAAAGCATGCTATTCAAGTGCTTGCTATTACCATCTTTAAGATACAGTAGCTGTTGCTAACTGGAGACATCACCAAGAGGCAACTAAAACTACTTTATTTTGCGTTTTTTATGAGAAAAATTTGCCATTCTTAGCCCCACCATGTGTGCCTGCAGGAACTGAGTTATACAATGTTTTGAATCCACTGCACCATGATGCTTTTCAAGAAGATTTATCAGAGGGATGTTACGGATGGACTCCAGCCATCCAGTGTGCAGCTGCGTCTATAGAAACAAACCACACAACAAGCAAAAGGAGAAACTGGTCTGAAGAGAATGCTCCCAAAAAGGTCCTCCCCTTTCCAGGAAAACAGGGATTGAAGGACTCCACTAACAGTTCCATCAAGAACAGTTCACGTTGGAGCTTTTCTAACAAAACGCAGAAGTTTTATCTATCTACATAGGTGATTTGCAAAAAGGACCAACCAAGTCTTCCCTGTGTTTACTGGGGCACTTGCCATGAAGCAGATGAATTTAAACAAAACTTTCACTTCACTGTGTCATTGCTTCCACACAGAGGACAGAAATTTCTTCCAATTATACCCTTAGCATTACATGCACCCTCTACTCCTTTGCTATTCAGGGACTTACAAACCATGAGATTCTTCTCCATGATGTCTGGTAGGACCCATAGTGACAGCCGGCCACAAAAACCTGTCTTCCCCATGAGAGTCAAATGGGATTTTATAAACCCCATTATCCACACTTTACAGGCTGCAGAGTTCTCCTGCCTCCATTTTTGAGTGATGCACTTACATGGCAAAAAAAGCTATGACACTTTTGATAGCTTCAGTCCGGAGAGCTGAAGCTATCTGCATTCATGGGTTGTTAACTGCTTCTGAACCCTTACAAACCCAAGAATTTTTACAGCAAGACTTACAGAGTAAGAAAAGATAAGGTACCCTTTTAGTGGAACAAAATCACGACTAGTCCTTACAGTGCAAGCACTGAAGCATGGCTGGAGGATAAGGAAGGTAACGAACAGAAGCTGTGGAGGCTCCTGGCCTCCAGTACCAGTGTCTGCTTTCATCTCCATCAGCTGCTGTTACACCCCTATTTCCACCATCCTTTCAGACTGAGCCTGCTCCTGTTCCCTCATTGTGAGTCCCTCCCTGCTGAGTACCTCGGATAAACCCAGCCCCTTCTACAGCCCTTCCCTTCCATCCTCTCACAATTCTCTCTTCTCTGAATCTCTTACTCTTTTAGTATAATTTCTGTTGTTGCTACAGTTGCTTCTGCCCCCAAACTATCTTTGGGCTTTACAAACACCTCCACCAACTCCTCGGAACAGCATCACTTTAGTCCTTTTTTTCTTGCCTCTTAACTTCTAGGTTTGCCAGACGTTGAACAGCTGCTAGTGTTACTGTCTTTGAAACTCTTGATACTAGTTACAGACCCTGTAAATCAAAATATGTAAGCAGCTATTGCTTTGTTACCATGGCTCTAACAAAACAGTATTTTCTTCACACCAGATTTCAGTACGCCATCTCCAGTGCACCACTCTGATCTTGGCAAACACCTAGGTGTGATGCCTCCTCTACCTTCCCTCCTGTGCTGCCCTGAATAAAGAAGTATTGATGAAGCCCACCTAGCTTGCAGAGGTTCATTTCAGCAGTTTGATTGCAGGATTGCTGCTGTGCCTAACTTCATTTAACATCACAGGGGCTGCACGAGGCTTTCGAGAGGCCAGAGGTTAGGAGACAAGCGTTTCATTAGCAGCACCATCAGAATAAACAGGAGAAAATGGAGGTGAGGAAGCAGTCTGGTGCAACAGCAAAGAACGGATCTGCTTGTAAAAACAGAACCGAGCGGAATGTGCAGTGCTGCTGTTGGTTACTCGGGCTGTTTCATGGAACTGTACGAGCACAGGTGTCTAAGCAGCAGGCAAGACAGGCCTTAAAGAGCAACAACCTTCTACAGTGTTTTCTGTATATAAGATCTTTTGTGTGAACATGCTTGACCCTCGCTGTGCCATCCATGCAGCTTTGCAATGAGCTTCAGGCATTCAAGGGGATCAGAAAGGGTTTTTTTTTGTAATTTGTGCTTTGCAATGTATTGCCTGGTTTACACTTCCGTAAGTATAATATCCAAATGAGACTGCCAGTGAAAAATAAACCAGTTTGCTCACATTTACAAAGACAAACTTGACAGCAAAACAATTTTCTGAATTAATTCCCTGAACGCTCAAAATGTACCACACGCCTTGTGCTAGAACAGTACTAGAGCTGTGCAGCTCTTCGTAAGGACATTGTGAGATGGTTAGTTTAGTTCAGTTTAGTTTTCTATTCATTTTGGGCTGTGTTGGGCATGTCATGGTGCATGAATAGGAGTTTGGAGGGAGGAGGGGCAATCATCAGTTGCTATAGAAGTTTCTGCTCCATGTGGCAGGAGCAATAAAAGAAAAAAGTGGCTGTATATCTCCCCAGGCAATACAAAACACTTAAGCGAAGAGTCCACAGTGATGCTTTCCCTGCTCTACAGTGTGGTCATACCCAGAGGGCTCTCAGGGCAGTGGACAACTAGTTGTGAGGGTGACAGTCAGGCTCTTGCAGCCCTTTTGTCTAACAGTGTTTTAGAGGCAAGGCACACCTGGCTGCCAAGGCTGTCCCCTACTAGGAGGCATGGGTTTTCCCTCCTTAATCTCTTGTTTTGTTGATGATGACCTTTGACTAATCCCATAGTGGTTATGTGAACAGGGTGGTGCTGGGTATGTGTATTCTGGGTACCAGGAATTCATCTTTGCCTTTACACAGAGGACAAGAAAATTTAAGAGCTTAGTATAGGGTCATCTGTAAATATAATGGCTTGATATAGTACAAGGCTTGCTGGAAAATGATTCCCCATATACTTGCCAGGCTTATTAACTCCGAGTGTTTGCAGATACAAGAGGCAGAACCGAGCAGGTCTTCAGTGCTTGAATGGTTACAGCTGGTGCACATGATCCAAGAGCAGGAGCGATGGGCAAACAGGTCACAGGCAACCACAACAGGGCACACAGCAGCACAGTGAGGTGCCCAGAACATCACCAAAACACGCTCACATAGCTATTCCTAATGACTTAAGTCACCGTGATGTAAAATAGCTTCTGAGCACAGTGAAGCATAACCTCTGGAGCAGCTCTTGAATTTATTCTGTAGATGCAAATCTTTTTACTCAGTTGCAATTTGGCTCATACTACCCTAGAGATTGCTCTAAGAGAGGAGTAAATCTGAGCTGGGCATGTGAGAAGGCAGTTGCTACAAAGAACTACTTGTCACATTGTTCTTTAGTTGGCATAAATGAGCACAATTGAAGCCAATAGAAATGTGCTGATTTACATCAGCTATGTAATTCGACATGAGGAAAATTCAATGGGAGTAAAGAGTCTTACTGTTGCTTAATTTAGCTTGCATTTCCCGACAGTAACGCTGATAGCAAAGCAATATTGATGAAGTATAGGCTACCAGGGGCTCTTTGCACTCCCATGCCAAGTACAGAAAATTGGAGGAGAAAAATGGAGGAGAATAAAATCTTGTATCTGCTTCTGCCAGTTAACTGTTAGCAGAGGGCAGGAATGAACCACCTCCTTTCCCTACATCACTGCACAATGAGCAAAAATATTTGTAAGCCTGGAGGTTCCCCTTCCCTGAAGTATCAGCCCAGATACCGTCAGCCAGACTTTAGTCTACACAGAACTACCCTTCTCCTAACAGGATTTATAAAATGGGATTAAATGCAGTTTTACCAATGAGTGAATAAACTGAAGGCATATTAAATAGAAAATCCCTAACCAAAGAAGCAAATGTAAGAGTTTGACACCATTAAAATTCCTGTACTTGACTCCATTAACATGTTGGCTAATCTATACAATACATTATCTCTTCTTTTAAGCTCTCTTTCCTGTATGACAAGTCTCCTGATATCAATAATGATAATATGCCTTATAACGTCTTTCCCTGAG